CTTTGCCACCCTCTTTGGTCTTAAACTCCTGCATCCCATGACTGTCAATCCTTCAGCCCAAGAAATGCTGTCAGGATCCCACACAGGTGACCCTTAACGCCGCCATCAGCGCTCTCGGTAAAGGCCGCGCAGGGCCAGGGCTTAGGTAAATCTAGGGCTTCAGGTTGAAAGGCTTATAGTCCAAAGTCCAGGATTGAGGGCTTCGGGGTGCGGACTTCAAGAAATTAGCACAAATCTCAGTTCGAAGTACACCCGTCTGTGGAAACTTTCTGGTGGGAGAGCCTGGGTCCACAAGAAGTAGAGCCTGCTTCTGTTCTCCCTCATATTGAAATTAGCTAGTAGAGAAAACAGACGGAGTCCCCTCTGTTTCTTCTGTTTGCCCGATTCACGGCTGAAGCTCCGGTTTCGAGATTGCAGTCGCCGTCCCAAGCCGAATTGTGGTCCAAGACCGATTGAAACGCTGTCAGAAAAGACGGTAGAACGACGGATGAATGAGATTGGCTGTAAGCTTCCATCACCTAGTTACTAAGTTTGTGCTGTGCCTTCCAATAGCCCCGGTTTGGGATCTGCCAGACGAGCAGGTTGTAGCAGTTGACTGTAAGGTAGGGAGAAGGGTGTAGGGTGCGGGCCTGTCAGTTCTGTGGCCGATGTTTTCAGCGCCTACCGGAGTGGCAGCGTTTGAGGTAGTGCCCCTTCGCCAGCTCGAAACCTACCCGTACCCTGAGACCCTGCTTCAGATACGGGTTTCCTATTTCTCTGGACTCCCAAGGCTTAGCATGAGGAAGTAGGAATCTACGGTCCCCATGTGCTTGTTACTTGTGGTATAACATGTCGAAAAGATCCGGTTCTTCTTATTGAGGCCCCTAGTTATAGTCTTTCGAGACCAGAAGACGTCTGCCATGCTGGCCTCAGCGCTTCGAAAGCGGCGGGGGGCAGCAGAGGGAGGCTCGCTTTGGGTGTAGAGTTTTGTTGGGGATACTAGAGATGTGGGATGTTTCAAGCTTTAGTGATTTCAGGGTTTAAGGTTTTTGAGAGTTATGGGGTTTAGGATGTGGGAATCTTAGCGTCTAGCGTATTCGGGTACTAGGGGTTTAGACCTTGGACGTTTAGGTTTAGGTTTAGGGAGGGAGAGAGCGAAGGGCTGTGTGGAGGGCAGGGGAGGAGGGAAGAAACCTTGACATCCCATCAGATAAAGAGCGAACCTAAGCCTTCGACCCTGGACAAGGCGGCGATGGTGCAGCCACCGAGGGTGATGGGGGTGGTGCTGAAGGAGCTGTTGGTCGGCGACGAAAGTCGGTGCCTGAGAGATTTTGGGTTTAGGGCCTCTTCGGATTTTAAATTTTGGGTAGTGGGTTAAAGCTTTAATTAAGACACTTAGGGTACAGTACAGGGCTCGAGGTTTGGGGTTTAAGGCTGTGGCAGTCGGTCGGTGAAGTTCGTCCACAGAGGAGCTCAAAGGCAGTGTATGTTGCAAGCTATATGAATCATAAGCTTCTGTGTAAGGAAGCCACAAGTGGAGTATGAATTCCTGTGGTACATAATTATCAGCCTGATAAATGGATCATTTCCGCTCTCCAAATGCTCAGTCTAACTCGAAACCTCCGAGCCCGCGGCTACTCCGTGCAGATTCCGGACTTGAGTTTCGGGTTTAGCCTTCAGGCAAGGTTTGGCAGCACGTACGTCGCTCAGCTGGTGGGAAGAATCTCGAACAAAAACCAGCGAGTCGCACATCGTCGAAGTGCTAGCGGTCTTGGTTCGTCCACCTCACCTGCCGCAGCCAGAAAGGCTAGCCTGAACTTCAAACGAAGACAACCCTGTAATCAAAGAACAAACATAGGTCTTGGCCCTGCAAGTCTTCACAAGCTTTTGCCCTGGAGCCTTTGTGACACCGTTTGGACAGGAGCACATCAAGACACCTAAAGCCAAAAAACTCTGACCGTTGTGCTGTGCGTATCGTCCTTTAAGCACTGTGGGCAGGCCACGGACAATCCTCGGATCGCTCGTTCGGCTTTGCGGCTCGGATGAAGTAGTTCGGTCAGCACTGGTGGCACAAGTTTGCGCCACAATTCAGCGGCTCTTCCGATTTGATGTTCTTGCTTGTTGGGCCCCTTTCCCACAAACGCGATTAAGCATTGAGGTTGAACAGGAGGCGTGATCTCTTCTTCATTTTGGTGCTGCACCTCACGTCCGGGGATTCTGATGTAAAGGCAGGCAGGGCCCGAACGTAAAGTCCAAGAGCCTAAAGTGCGAGGTCAAACAGCGTAGTCCCACAAACATCCTGGTTCATATAGTCAAGTTCCTTACTGCAGCTGGAAGTAAGTTTCAAGCATTCAGGACGTTGTGTTTAGTGCTCGGTGCTTTTTCGGCGGTTTCCGTCAAAGGTATAGATTTGCAAGTTTAAGGGCCCTGTGTCGGAAGCATTTCTGTGTTATGTTTGCTACAACCTTATACCCGAAAGAAATTAGCAGAAGAAAGCGCTACTTCGCGACCCCTAAAGTTCAACCCCTCGGGCTTCAACCGCATGAGCCCTGAACCTTTTGATGTTGCTGAGTTAGTGCGGCACAAGGCATCGGCGCAGCATTCGCCCTGTACATCCAAAGGAGATGAAACCTTGGTGTGCGGAATCTAGGGGCCTGAACATTAAGGCTGGGATTTTCGGTGGCTCTGCACCCTAAATACATTTGGGACCCTGAGGAATATTGTTACTATCTGCTCTGTCTTCATATTGTCCCCTGAACCGTTCAGGGTTGAAAGACTGTCAATACCGAACCCTAAAGATTAAGCTGCATAGTAATAGGCTTCTGTGGGCCGCAAGTTGTGCTGACGGAAAAAGAGCCCTGAAAAGACGCGCAAAAACGTATAAGTGTGGATTCAGCCATCGAAAATCAACAATCGAAACTCCCAAGGAAGAGAAACAATGTGTTGTAGTTGTTGCAGATACACGCTGTGAAAAATTAGGGCATAGACATGAGCAGGCGCACATAAACCGTACCCTCTCAAGGACTCTTGACAGTTCCAGCAGCAACCCACAAGACCATAACACAAACCTTGGGTCATCTCACAAGTATGTTAGAGGGACTCGGAATGTGCGAAAGCCAAGCCTAAGTTCAAATGAACCCTCCACCCTTCGCAAGTTCGATGCTGACGGGTTTTTCACAACTGGCTTTAGGGCGAAGGATTTTGAGGTCTGGGCTTAGGAATTCGGGATGTAAGGTTTGTGTTTTGTTACCCCACAAGGAGCGTGACACTGTCATGTTGTCGAGTCCAAGGATCAATGCTCGGTTTTGAGATGTTTATGGTCAAACGACCGAGGCTGTTGTTCTTGTCAATGGATTGCGAGGTCAGGCGCAAGTTTCTTCCCAGTATCTCGAGTAGCATACAGGTAGGTGCAAGGGTCCAGGTCTTGAGTCGCACGTTAAAGGAGGACTCAGCTCTGAGCAGAGTAGAGTCGAATTCACCGTGTTCGGGACCCGAGGAATCATCTATGATCGCCTTGTCAGCCTCCCACTCTTCCACCCACCGGATGAAATGCAGGGTTTGAAGATGCCAAGCTCGCAGCGGTTCAAAACTCTCAGCCGGAAAGCCAAAGCCCGCATAATCAAGAGACCCAGGACCTCAAGAACCCCAAAGCAATAAACCTTCCTACCCCAAGCCCCAAGCGATTGAGGGTTCAATCGCTTGACCTCCCAACCCTAACCTTTCAACTTCTACAGGAGGAATGCGGAGTTCGATGAGAGCAGCGTGCCAGCTCCAGAGGGAGACTTTCACATCGCGACCCGGACATGAGAGTCGAAGGCTTCTAGGCCTATAAGGCCTAGGCTGTTCGGTAGGATGGATCGGGAGGCAGGGTCCTGGGATTGGGGGAAGCCTTTTCGGGATTGGGAAGGGCCTCGGAACAAGGGTTCACAGATTTGGAAGCAAGATGTGGGGACTGGGGATGATGCTTTGAAAGATTTGAACCTGAGGTTTAGGACATCTTAGAACTCAGGTACGAGGCCTCTGCATGGCCGGAACACGACGAGTGTAGAAGGGTCTATCGGCAGCTTACCAAGCCACTTTGAGGTTGAAGTCAGAGGTCAGGCTGCGACTTGTTTACCGCTGTAAGCCTTGCACGTCAGAAGATGTTGAAATCCTTTGCGAAATGCCCAATGATCTGAGTCTGAGTGTCAGCCCACAGAGGCATGGGTTCTAGAGTCATGCTTCGCATATTTCAGTTTCAGGGTTCACCGCGCAGACTGTCTGCAGCAATCCTCGGCCCGTTCCTGCTGTGACAGCCACAATCGATGGATCCCTCGTGTCTTTACCGGGATGGTTTTTTGACATTTGTCTTCGACACGGTGTGGTTGGTGTTGAACGCCTGGCCTTGAATTCTCAGCCTTGCCCATCTAAAAAGCGCTGTGTCAAGCGTCCCTCTGCAAAGAACAGAGAGACGTATTTCTGCACCCCTTTCCCTCAACGCCTTGAGCCCGAGGTGGACAAGGGCGACAAGATCGCCGAGTATGAGGCTTTCCTGTCAGACGCTGAGGTGAAGATCCTTGGCCTGTTTCATTTTAGGCCCTATTAAATAATCTTGTCAACCCTAAATTTTAGGGTTTACAAGGTTTCTATGGCTTCTCCAGAGTGTTCGTGGGGCTTCACAGGCAGACTCTTTTCCGTTTTGATATATCGGTCGTGCCTACACTCCAGAGCCCTTCACCCCAAACCTGAATCGTGTTTCGAAGGTGATGTTGCCCTTGGGAATTGATCTGAAGCTCCTCGTCATTGTCTACGACGTCTTGGACCCAGAGTAAGCCCTTATACCCTTTTTTAGGGTTCAGGTTCCCTTATAACCCCCTTTAAACCAAAAAGGGCACCCTTTTCATTCCTAGGTTACTCTTAGGTCTAGACGTACAAAGAATCACCATAGCTCTCTCGAGCGACCGTCGGCGAAAGTTGGCGATGGTGTCGGCGTAAGTAGACTGATACTTTCGCAAAAGCCTTTCCGTAACCCGTGTCTTGCAATGGTGCCTGCTACCTCAATACCTGCACAACCGTTTCAGACCCCCAGAAACTCCTTACACGTAATTACACAGCCTCTTTCCGAACCCTTCTCAAAAGCCTTTTCGAGGTACCTCCTGGCTTTCGTGGAGAGCCTGGGCTGGGGCGCGAGCTCTGCTCCTGAGGCAGAGCTGCCGGCACCTGGGACTTTTTGTTGCTTTTTAAAGGAAGTCCAATTCGGGTTCAGGGTTTCTGTTGGGGGTTGAGGCTCTTAGGGATTGAGCGGTTTGAGGTTTAGCAAAGGGTGTTTACGTGGTGTGTTAAAGGTTCAGTGAGGTATATAGGGTGCAAGACTGCGTGGTTGCAGCGGCTCTGTCGAGTTTTGAGACTTATGGGCTCAGATCGGCCGCTTCCAATCAGTTGCCGAGCATGGTCCGGATACTTCCAAAGGCAGTTTTGAATGTGACTCAGATTCTTCTTGTTATTAGTGGTCATCGCCAACTTCTTCTTCATCAAACTCATCTTCATTTTCAGTCATCATCATCTGCATCATCTTGATCACCATTGTCATCATCTTCGTCATGATCATCATCCTCATCATCATCACCATCATTAACACCATCGATATCGTCACCATTTACCTCACATTCCTCGACCTCTCCTCATGGCCGTAGCATCTATCGTCGTCGTTGCTGCCATGACTAGCTTTGCACGAAACGACCAGAACAGGAACACGCTCATGTCCTTGCCTCCAGATATGGTTGTGAATTGCTGTGGTGACCACTGCCATGTTTGCCGTCACTGAGTGTTTGCTATCTTCACTGGTATCTTCACTATCTTCATTCAGGCAGAGTCTAGAACTCTCCGCACACAGTTCTGATCTCTATACACCCGAGAATGCCAAGCCCCCAAGCCTTCGAACATAGGCCTCAAAGCCTGGATAGGCACACCCGAATTGCTGAGCGTTGAAGTCCCCTTATCGTCTCGCCATGCAATCTGTCGCCTATGTCATGACCTCCAACTACTGCATCCCATGCTCAAAACCCCACCCCCAAACGAATCCCTGAAACCAAATACCTGAACCTGACACTTCGGAATCCCTAAACCTTGTAGCAGAAGCCCTCCTCCAATGCTGCATCACCCGGCAAAATACTTCCAGGTCGAAGGCTACATCGCTGCAGCCAGGCTTCGGACTCGAGTTTCGGGATTTGTGGTCTACGGGCTTACCGGCGACCGCGAAGTCGATCTGATATAGGCCCTACAGTGTTAATGGACAGATGCAAACTGAATGTAGGTCATATATAGATACATAGAGCGACATGCACAACAGAGCGAGCCTGTAATCAATGCAAAGTAGACATTTCCTACAGAAGCCGTAAATCCAAAACTTGAACGCCAGAAACAAAATGCCTCTGCCAGCAGGATGGACCCGGTGATCAGCCGAATCGAAAAGCGCATCGCGAATATCACAGGCGGGCCTTCGGTGTTCCGGGGATTGGAGCCCTATTGGGGTTCTAAGGTCGCGGGCCAGAGGGCTGTACCGGTGTACGGGCCTTGAGGTTGCAGGCAGAGCTTGGCCCGTAACTTCAAGGAACTCCGCGTTCAGAATTTGGTTTCAGGAATTTCTTGTGTAGGCATCAGGCTTGAAACTATCGGGCTGAGGTCTTGACTTAGTCGGAAACTGCTCCGGTGCGGATCCTCGTTATGGTAAGCCTGGGGACCGTAAAAGTTGTCAGACAGGACTCCAGATCTAGAGCCCAGAAGGTACTTCAATTGGAGCCTTGATTGAGACCAACCCGCACACGTCTCCGAAGGTGTGCCCACCCATCCGCACGAGGACATACTCAGCATCGTCCGTATCTCGGCGTGCAGACTTGGCTTGATTCCCCAAACCCCAAACCCTGATCTCCAACATTTTCGTTGGTGGCAAGTTCTCATGGGGATGACAGTTTTGCCGCTCAGAGGCATTGAGCTTAAGGTTTGGGTCTAGGGGGCTTCGGATTTCCGGGGCTTCCACCAGTGTTTGCTCAGGATTCTCGACCAGAGGGCAGATTTTTAGGGTCAGATTCAGTTGCTTCCTTGATATTTTCTGGCTTCCTAGCTTCATGCATCACAAGGGTTTGGGCCGCAGCATACAGTGAAACAGGGTTGAAACGGATCCTGCGCATCGGCGCAGTGCGTCTGAGTACAGCCTCGAGAGCAATGAACGTGAGGAGCGTATCGTCCATCCAGAGTTTGGCGTCCTAAGCTTCACCACCTCTCGTGTAAGATACGGCTGGCCACAACCTCCATGCCTGGTTGGGTATGGCGTTCAGAAGTTCTGAGATGTTGGTTGTGAGGCAGCGCCTCTTGATTCGCAGGGGAAACGGAAACCGACCACTCAATCCCTTCAGGCGTGATCTAAAATTGAGGGTTAAGGCTTGAGCCGACCATTTGCCTTCATGTCAGAGTCAGCAATCTCACTGACGAGGTGGCTCGTGTGCTAAAGCGACACTCACAGTTCTTTGGCCACATTGGAACTACCAAGTAAATGTCGAGATCCTCGCACCGCTCGTGCTTACCATGTTTGTTGCAAAGTACTTGCAGACAGTCGCCGCTAAGCTGGACAGGAGCACGTATATACATGCAAATTCCAACGTCTGGTGCAGCAGTCCGACACAGCCTTTGAACACCCACAACCCGAGAGCAGCATCAGAGTCCTACCAGACCACATTTAAACCTCCTATCAAGCCATTACGACGGCTTGCAACAGCCTCCCAAGCCGATGCAATCCGTCTTAAGCTTTTGGAGGCATGAACCCTCGAAACTTGGAGCCACGCGGTGGCTTTTTCCCACCTGCAGGCCTGCGCCACGATGCTCGGAACAGTCAGTTGAGTAAGGTGGAGCCCGTTTGGGGTTGATGCTTTGAAACTCCTTCGAACACAGCCACAACTTCTGGGTAAGATCCTGAAATTCTAAGCGCGTAGACCCAATTTCCAAAATCCCTTTACAAGAGCCCTAAATCATGAACTCTTAGCACCAAACAGTGAACCTCGCAACCTCAAAGACTACGTCAGAAAATCCGTGAGCCCTCCGACGCACTTATAAAGAACGAAGCCTGCACTGAATTCCTGACCCCGTCGGTCCTGCCCATAGAAGGCACATCCCTACAGCTCCAATCCTTTGATCCTCGGAACGTACAAACCTGCATCTCTGACTAACACCGAAACTTCATATCCTCAAAAGCTTGATTTGCTAGACCCTGGACCCTATAGCCAAAAGCCGAGGCACCAAACCGACTAACCCCAATACATTAAGCCTTAAACCTTGACCCCTTAACCCCAGAACGTTAAATCACACAGCCCTAAAACCCCATAAATCTTGGATCTACCTTCAAGTCTGACCTTCAACTTGCCATGCCTACAACCCGAAACCCACGAACCCCTGACACTTAAGGCTTGAGTTTGGGGATCTGAGGATTCCGACTCGAGGCCTCATCGCAGCTGGAGCCACGGCCCATCCCGCGAGTTTTCTTGTTTCGTAGGGTTTACGCTTTTTACTGGGGTCTGCAGGAAATTTGATGAGCTGTGTGTATCGTCTTGCGGGGGTGTCGGTGCTTCTGAGGTCTCCAAACCTTTGTGGTATCATGACTGGGGCCTTCATGTTTTGGGGTTTCAATGCTTCAGGGTTTATGTTGGCTAGTATTTAATTAGTAGCCCCAAACCCTACACGATTCAGTTCATGAAATCAAGGGGATCGGGTTGAGGGAGGTTGTGTTTGCGTGAAGCCCATCAGCTGCTTGTGCAGTCTTTTAGGGTACGGGGTTTAAGGTTTTACGAATGAGGGCGCAGGTAGGTTTGCAGAGTTTAGGCCCGGCTTGTCGCAGAAGATGCATGCAGGTTTGGGTTCCTGCCGCAGAGAAATCCCAGCGGCTTATGTAAAGTGCGCGCCACGAACTCCAAACCCTTCGGGAGTTTTTATCAGAGAGGGGAGCACTTCGCTCTCGGGCGTGAAGCCCAGGACACTACTGGTGTTCCTGGAGGTGCCTGAGGAAGGTGGCAGGAGTGACGGCGTCGTTGATGAGTTTCCAGAAGGGTCAGTGGAGTTTAAGGTAATAGAGATCCCCTGCCCCTGCTGCGCCAGTGTAACATGCAACAAAATGCGTCCAGCGCGTGTCCACCATTCGCTCTTTAAGACGGTAAAACCACACAACGAACCGTAACTAACTGTCGTTTTCAGTGGCCACAGCCCGCAACTCCGGGAGCCCATCGATCCCACACGGTTAAGGGGTCAGGCTTCATGTGTAAACAAAACATCTCACATCCGAATCCCCAGCCTGGACCGCGAGGATTATATTCCCCGTAGCCGGCACGGCCCCTCGCGATGGAGAGCTATCCGAGCGGCACAGGCGCTGTTCACAGGGTCGTTTCGGTTCGGGTCCCGGCAGTTGCTGCCGTTGTGGCCGTTGTTGCGGTTGTTGCAGTTGCAGTCGCGGCTGTTATTATTATTGTTCCTGGTATAGTTCTTGTTATTGCTCTTGTTGTTATGATTCTTGTCATTGTTCTTGTTGCTGTTGCTGTTGCTGCTGCCGCTGTTGCTGTTGTTGCTGTTGTTGCTGTTGCTGCTGTTGCTGCTGCTGCTGCTGTTGCTGTTGCCGTTGCTGTTGCCGTTGCTGTTGACTACTGTAAGGCTGAGGTATAAGACCCTACTTAATGTAAGTCCGCACGGCTTAGCTAACTAGTAACTAGACTCTGTGACAATGTCGATACGTGGGATTTTTGGACCACGCCCTAACCTTTGAGGCCCAAAGACCTCCACCCCCAGAAGTGTCTGTCTGGGCAGGCAATTCCATCGCGGTCTTCAGGCCCCGGTGGAAAGGGAGTTGAACTGCTTGTGCTGGTCCTGGTGTCTCTTACAACATCGTAGCTGACTAGGAGGCGTTGTGATCTCAGACTTTTTTGGGGGGAGGGAAGGCCCTTCGTCTGGTTAAGGAATGTCATGTGCTCGGAGTTTGGAGGTTTCGCAAGCTTAAGTCCCCTTCAAGTACAACGTAGGCTCGGGGTTGAGCACGAGCTCGAGCTTCCAGGAGCAGTTTGGTGGCGCCAAGCACCCTGGATGCTTAGAGGGGCCCGGACGGTTAAGCATAGGCCTGCTTGCATGGTTCAGGGCCTTGTGTTTTCGGCATCAAGGTCTTGCAATTCCAGAGATGATGATCTCAACCTCAGAATCCACAGCCCTTGTGAGATTCCCTGAATCTTCAGAGTTTTCCAAAGCATCAAGCCATGAGTTTCCCCCAGCAAGCACCAAAAGCCCAAGCCCCCAAACCGGAGGAGCCTAGAAGCCATAAAGCTGAAAGATGCATTGAAGGCAGGACTCGAAAAGACCGAAGCTGCCAAGGTCTCAAACGACAACAAGCACACAAACCACAGAAGCCTCTCGAGACCCTATAGGCAGGGCCACGCCACGCACTGAAGCCGTAACTAAGCCGACATCATTGCAGCCTGAGCCGTGCCCCTTTGACCAGCACACTCGACGAAGCATGACGCCAGTAACAGTAATTCTTGCCGGGATTTTGGGTAGACAGTTGTAGGAACTGTCCATTCAAGTCAAGCGCCCTTCAGATCGGGCAAACTGCCTCCAAACCTTTGGTTGTCGTTGCTCTATCAGGACGCACCAGCACTGCTTCCACACTGCTTCGTGCTTCTTCTTGTTTTGCAAGATCAACCTCTAAACCATAGCGATTTTCCGCACCACCACCAGGGAGTCCCCAAACATGTTATTAGTCAGTTTCCAACTATGTCGTTATCACATAGGTGATTGTGCTCATAATGACTGGATGCGTGTCTTTCTGATTGTATGTATACAATACAAGTAAGTAGGCATAGGTAGGTACATCTGTAGGCTGTAATGTACCTACGTAGGTATGCATGCATGCATGCAGGCATTCGCACACACACACACATGCCCGTAGGTATGCTGTGTTTGGGTTTGTTTGTTCGTTCGTGTGTATGTAGGTATGCATGTATGTAAGTATGTATGCATGTATGTAGTATGTTTGTATGTGCACATGTGTGCAATGCTGCATGTATGTACATGAATGTACATGTATATGCATGCCGCGTAATTGCAGATTTTTGCGTGTTTGTATGTCTGCAGGTGGGCACGCAGGTAGGCAGGTAGGTAGGTATGTAAGGCGGGAGGGATTGTTGGGGTCGGTGAAAGCTAGCTTCACAATCAGCGTCGCACACAGCGAAGTTCATCCCCAAAGATTATCGAGAAACTCTTCTCTTGACACAGCGTTTTCTTAGTTTCAGCCGTTTCGTTGTTTGGGGTCTCTACTGTCGCCTGGACACGCAGAGGAGCCTAAAGTTAAAGTTGTGACTCTGATGGGACTTCCAAGCTCCTGGACTGCAACATTAGCTTTGAGGCATACTGTCGGTTCAATCCCCTCCCCCTGAAACCTTAACCCTCTCAATGCCCACCTTTATTTGGTCGAGACCAAGGCAAAACTACTCTCGAAGCGTCCGGTTCGATCCGAGCTTGGAGCATCCCTTCATGGACCTCATCGAAGAAAGCTGCCCGTCAGGCTTTGTTCAGTGTTCATGGGGCGAGTAGGGGTTCGGGGCATGTTTGAGGTGGGGAACTCAAAGTATTTTCATTTATATCCGATTCGTGCATCCGTGCAGTGATAGATACTCTTCATGGGAACATTTTTAGATTATTATAGGAAAAGGTATGAACATCTATGCCCGGATTTGAGGCTGCCGCGGAAGCTACGGTGTGGCAGTGACTCCGAAACCTGGCTCCGCTCTGCTCTTCCCATCTGACAGCGCGAGCCGCAGGAGTTCTTTGGAGAGTCCGTGTGCATATATAGGTACATACGTATTATATACATACATACAGAATATATATATATATATATATATATATATATATATATATATATACATATCCTCGCATGCACATATGTTTGTAAATAGTATACACAAATACATACATATATATATATATATGTATGTATATATATATATATACACATATACATATACATATGTATGTACACATGTCTGAGTTTGTTGATTTACATATGTGTAGGTGTATGATGAGACCACCTGCGACTATGACTGCCTTTGCTTGTTCTGGTTTAGCATGGTGATCTCTTTTGAAAATGTCAGGTTTCCAGCCATCAGGGTTTAGGGCTGTCGGGCACAAGGTTTCTGAGGATCTATGGCTTAGAGCGCAGTTTCGGGTTGAGGGTTTACGTTTGGTCACGTGGGGCGTTGAGTTGTGTTCTTTGACAGGAGCGCTTGCATGCCACTGTCTTCGGAGTGGCTGAGAAATAGGTATCCGAAGAAAGAACACGGAAGGTGTCGAGATCCACAGGACAGCCTGTCAACCCTTGCAGCCAAGATCCTTCGAGAACAGAAAAAAACAGGACCGAAGAGCTTGAAGCCTTTTCTCTCATTAAACAAGCTTGGAGCGAAATCCGAGACTTGCATAAGGGTTCAGGGTTGGAGCCGAAGCCTAATCGCTTTTGTTAACACTATATCTGCTAACCTCCAAGTCTAGAGCCTACATTCTATAGCATAAACAGGAGTCAACATGGACCATCCGGCCAATACAATCTGCAGATATCTCATTGTGCTCGCAAAGTCGTTTCGCTAACTGCGCATCAGCCAATCAGCCGATCTGAGTTTAGGGTTTAAGGTTTACGCGGGGTTTAGGGTTTATGGGGCTTCTCGGCTGATCGGCGTAGCACGGCTCCAAAAGCCACGCACACTGTGTATCCAAATGCAAGCAGGACGTGGTACGGCGAGTGCAACGTCATCAACGGATCCAAAGTGACCCTTCAAAAATACAAGGTGCGGAGCCTGAACCACGAACCCAAAATCTGAAATCTGTACGTCCCGGGTCCCAAAACGCACCGGGCCTTAAGCCGAGGGTTAGAGCAGTTAGGGCTGGGCGAACTACGTGGTGTAAGATTTTCGTTGAGGTTTCCGTATGTTCATTATCTTGTTAGGTTCAGTGTTTTGACGGTTCCGTTGACCCCTTGGGTTGGCCCATATACTGCTTAAAAGGCAGGTCAATGATGCCCGAATGCTACTAGAATTAGAAGCCGCAAAACATGCCTGCAAACGTTAACAGAACCACCACGATATACGGCAAAGTTGCCTACCCTTAGTTTGGCATTCATTTCAAGCTCGAAGACAAGGAAGAGACACCCATTATGAGTTAAATTACTGCTGCAGCTGGACTTAAACCTAACAAAGTTTGATCTAAGCATCTCCAGAACACCGGCCTGAAAGTCGGAACAGTTCAAGGTTTGTGGATGAGGAACCCTGCCTGGCATGAGAAGCCTCCAAAAACTAAGCTCCGAAAGCCCCGAACTCCAAACCTAGATTCCAAACCCCGAGCCCTAAGCCCCCTGAAACCCTAAATTCCTTAGCCCCAGAGCCTCAACCCTAACCTTACTTCAGCTCCAACCCTAAAACCCTAAAAGCCTACATCCCTAAACCTCAAACTGCACCTAAATCCGAGAGATTGAGCCAGGAGCTGCCTTTGGCGCAGAGAGATGCTGAGGATCCTGTGCCACCCTACCAACCATGGAGATTCGAGCATCTCGCAAGATCTCTATGTATACACATACGCATACATATATGATACACATATATATATATATACATACACACACACACACACACACACATGTCTTCGTTTGTATTCTACGCACAGTGGCACTAGTAGTCCAATCGTTCTCGTGGATGTGTGTGGCGAACCCGACACCATCATTGGATATGTTTTGGTGCTTGTTTGGGATCCAGGGATCCACGGCTGACATGGATATCGTCGCTAGAGCGCGCAGGGAGTGTAGGCCTCAGCAGGAACGCGTAGGGGCTATTCGGATTTGTAGTGCTTGTGTTGCTGTTCCTGTCGTTTTGCATCAACAAAGCTGCGGCTCACGGAAGTGTTAGTGCGCATCTTGGTTAGCAGGTAAACCTAAAGTATTTACACATCAGAATTTCCCGCTGCACTCCCGTTGTAATTTTCTGCATAAGCGCGGATCACTCAACATTTGCGTTCGTTCAGGTGATCGTGGTCTCGAACGCACGGAGCTGCTCTGAGCTGTACATATGCTTTTGCCCACACGCAATACATTCAGGTTCGTCCAGGGTATTCAGACTTGTAAGTTTCAGAGCTGAAAGTCTAGGTCGAACCTGAATGACTGCCACAGGCCCAATGGAATGTAGTTCATCTGCAATTGATCACTCACGTATTTGCTTCGATTCTGTTGGGGAGCAGACTTCAGCCGCACCCAGCAAGCTGCTGGCCTAGTGGCTTCGCCAACGCTGCCACGTGAAATGTGCGAACCGTGCAGATCGAAGCTCAGTCTTTAGGGCTTGCAGCTTGGTGCTTAAGGTAGCTTAGGGGCAAAACAACCAAGCTTGCGCTCACGACAAGCCCGTTGCATCATCAGAAGCACTTGCGTGAAATCGGCCGAGTGGCCGCAACCATTGGCAGAGGCTGGACAGGATGTGTACATGCAAGTAAGAGGCTTTGTATGATGTGGTGGTGGCAAACGGGTTTAGGATCCGGTAGGCAAGCGGTTCACAGGTGTCCTTTTGGCAGTGCCAAGACTCATGCAGCCCTCCTACTCCTGCTGTCTGTAGACCACCAAGCACCAAAGGTCTGGGAATCTCAGCTCTGTCAACCGTCGACGCGAGTTCTGTGACAGGTAGCCAGTGGCCCCGATCGCTACGGATTCTTCGCGAGGTGTGCCGAAGATGGGCGTTCTTCCTTTCATGCATAGCGGTATTACCATCATTTTGATTGTTGTTCATGATTACAGTTTAGTTGCGGTGCTAGAAAGTCAAGGTTTCGCTTGGAAGCTTACTCTTATTGCGGCCGAACACACAGCTGCAGTAGTCTCACAAGACTTATGTACATGATGCTTGGAGTTCGTTGAGGAGGCGTCCTTTTTATGATTTTGATTCTAGCGGCTTCTAGCTTTAGTCTTCTTATATCCTGAGGGCTGAAAAAGGGTAAATCTTCGGGACTTAGCGTTCGTCCAACTGGGCTGGTACGAATCAAACTTCGGGCCGACCCAGCTGATCGGGTGTCGAGCGAGTGCAACTTCGCCGCACGTGCTGGCTGAACCAGCAGGTGCTGGTGATGCTTGGGCTGGGTTGTGGCAATTTTCGGGCAGGCCCAGTTGATGCTAATAATGTTGGGGATGAACGTACCAGGGATGATGCAGCTGATGCTGATGATGCTCGGGTGTCGGGCGATGTATCTACCTTCGTCGCAGAGGCTCTGGCTTGGATGAATCGCTTTTCGAGCCGACCCAGATAATGCTCGAGTGATGTTCAGGCGGGTCCCCCAAGTACATATCAGGCTTGCTCCAGCTGATGCTGATGATGCTCTGGTGTCGGGTCAATCCAATTTCGGCGCATGAGCAGTTGAGCCAGCTGATGCTCATGATGTTCGGGCTGCGTGGAATTGCGCGATCGTGACACAGCAGGCTGATTAAGCTGATGCACATTGTGTTCGGCTGTTGTGTGAGAGCAATTTCGGCGCAAGAAGGGCTGACCCAGCTGATGCTCATGATGCTCGCATGTCGCGTGATTGCACGTGCGGGTGTCGAGTACATGCACGTTTGCTTCGGGATCGCGACCTCTTAGCGCTAATTTGCAAAAATTTTCGGGTGGACCTGCTAATGCTCGGATTTCGAGCGCACGCGCACCGTTTTGACACATGTGGGGCGGAACCTCGCTGATGTTGAACGTTTGCAGGCTTTCGGCGAGGATAGTATTGCTACATATCGGCTGCTCCAGCTGATGCTGATGATGCCCGGGCAAGGAGGGTCAATGTTTGGGCCGACCCAGCTAATGCTGCTAATGCTCGGGTGTGAGTTTTGCATATTTTCGGTTATTTGGGGGGGCTGACGCAGCTGATGCTTATAATGTTCAGGTTTCCAACGAGTGCACCATCGGCACGTACCTGGGCTGATTCGTCAGTTTCAGGCCTAACGAGCTGATGCTCATGATCTATCTAGGGTGTCAGGCGAGTGCAACTTCGCCACTCGGAGGGGCTGACCCAGCTGATGCTGCTGATGCTCCGTCTCGGATGCTTCAGTTTTCGAGCCGAGCCAGATGATGCTCGGGTGTCGGGCGAGCACAATTTCGCCGCGTTTGGGGGCTGGCCCAGCTGAGGCACAGACTTTTCCGTTGTGTTGTACAGTTATCGCCACATGATCCAACTGATTGCTGCTGATGTCATGTTTGGGATGAATCAACTCTCGGGCCGATTTAGCTGATGCTATGTGTGAAGAGGTGCAATTTCGTTCATGCGGGGGCTGACTCCGCTGACATTCATGGTGTTCAGGCTTTGCGGCATAGCTGCAGTATTGCAGCATATCAGACCTGATCCAACTGATGCGCATGATGCCTGGGTTTTGCGTGAGTGCAAGTCTGCCGCATGTGGAGGCTGACCCAGCTGATGATCCTAACGCTTGGGTCAAGCTTGATGCGCTTGTGATGTTCGGGTTGGTATGAAGGATTTTCGGGTGGACCCAGCTGATGCTCACCATGCTCGGGTTTCGGGCGCAGGCACTATCGTGATGCTGATGATGGATAAATCGGGTGCGTGCAGTTTTGCTCCATACGGAGCCTCATAGAGCTGATATTTATGATGTAGCGGATGTAGCGCAGCACGCTCATTGACACTGATCCTGCTGATGCTGATGACGCTCGGGCTGGTACGAATCAATTCTGGGGCCGACCCAGCTGATGCTCATGATGCTTGGGTGTCGGGCGAATGCAATTTCGCCGTGCGCAGGGGGTGACAGAGCTGATGCTGGTGATGCTCCGGCTTGAGCAGACCCAAGTGATGCTTTGTGCCAGGCGAGCGCCACTTCTCGGCACGTGGCTGCCCCAGCTGATGCTCATGACGTTCAGGGCTTCGTGTTGTACATCATCGCCCATCTCTCGGCTAATCCAGTTGATGCTGATGATGCTCTGCGGTCGGGTGAGTGCAAATTCGCCGCAAAGTCGGACTGAGCGAGCTGATGCTTATAATGTGCAGGTTTTGGGTTTACGCATTAGTCATGCACTACATAGTACATATTACATATTGACTGCCACATCTCAGAGTTGATCCTGCTGCCTCTGATGATGTTGAGCCTCGATGAGTCAATTTTCGGGCCAACCCAGCTGATGCTCATGATGCTCGGGTGTGCTGTGAGTGCAATTGCGCCACACATGGAGGCTTACCCAGCTGATGCTCATGATGCTCAGGGGTCGCACGACTACATCTGGGCAGATCCAGCTGATGCTATTTCATTGATCAGGCTGGGATGAATCAATCTTCGGGCTCGGGCGCACACAATTCGCCGAATCTTAGGTCCCTCTGATGCTGATGATGTTTGGGCTGTCATGAATTATGGGGATAATCCAGCTGATGCTCATGATGCTTGGGTGCGATGTTCGGGCGCGATTCAGCTGATGCTAGCGATGTTCTGCCATCGATTGAGTGCATTTGTGCCGCCTGTCAGGGCTGCTCCAGCTGATGGTGATGTTGCGATGGCTGACCCAATCGAGGCTGTTGATGGTCGAACATGGAGTAAGCGACCGAATGACCACTCACAAAGTTCAGACTTGGTGCGGGTGCAGTGTGGCCACATATCGGTGCAGGCGCAGCTGATGCTGATGATGGGCGGGCTTCGGATGAGTAAGTTTCGGGCTGGTTCGAAGTTCAGCTGACGCTCATGATGTTCGGCGGATGGCAATTGCGAGACGTTGCGTCAAGCTAATGGGGCTGACCCAGTTGATGCTCACGCTGTGCGTGCGTGGCTGACGGTATTTCGCAGAACGTCGCAGCTGACCCAGCTGGTAATGGCCGCATATCAGGGCGACGCAGCTGACGCTGGTGATGAGCCGGCTTGAGTTTGTCTTGGCGAACCTACCTGTTGCTCATAGCTTTCGGGCGTTGGGTGAGTGCAATTCAGACCGCCAGCTGATGCTCATAAGTCTCGTAATTCGTGTTCAGGGTTCTTGCGAAGTTCTTGCGAGTACGCTACGCGGCCATCGGGCTCACCCACCTGACAATGTTGTTGTTCCGGCTGCGGCGGAGTACAGTTTCGCAAGCTTCGGGCACACCAAGCTGATACAGATGACGCATGGGCATTGCTCCCAGCGACGTCGAGTTCAATGTAAGAATGATTTACTAAGTGCTAGCTGATGGGCATACTGCATGGACTTCGTTTCGGATGAACCTAGAAGAGAAGAGAACGAAGGAACTTGCAAGGAACCTTCACAGCAACAAACGAGTTTCTTGGGATGCCCCTTTGGATATCTTTCGGCTGCGAGTCCCCATGGCTGATTACATGCATGTAGGGGCTCAGGAATAGCCCAAGGAAAGAAAGAGTGGCCAGACTTGGAGACCGAACAGCCGCTACTACTGAGGCCCTGAACACCGAAACTCCTGCGGTCACTCAAACAGCGAAGCCCCGAAATCCAAAGTTTTAACCCCCTAGCTTTCATGAATGAGCAGGAAGTAATGTAGACCGCTTGTTCTCAAGCGCCCTCGACTGGGGATTGAAAGAGGCTATTAAGGACTGAGGAAACGCTTAATTCTTATAATGCCTATCGGCACAGACTTGAAAGCCAGAACATGCAGCAAGCAGATCCGGAAAGGCTAGTGAGGACTCCACTGAAGACGAAGGACGCCAACCAGGCGGGAAGGGCTTCGCTAATGCTTATGCAGGAACGCTCATATAGAAACCCTAACCAGGTTAGGGAACGGTTAGGGGCATGCATCTTGTAGACTCGGACATCGGTCTTAGGCATCTATGTCCTGGAGGAGCACGGGTCTTCAGGGGTTCACGGATCAGGGTATCTACTCGCACCATTCTATAGGGGAAGGGGATTCTCGACAAAAAAAAGGCGCAATGAACATGAATATGTCATGTGCCCTTAGCGATGCCAAACCAAGGAATCTGGAAGGCCCCTTCGGCTTCCCATCACTTCAAGTCCAGAGGTCTGGCTCCGGGGTTCAACGCCCTACTCCGTGCTTGCGTGCGTAGCACGGCCTGGTCCGGGGGCTCAGTTGGTTCTTGTTACATCTTGTTACTACCTGCGACCTCCGTTGTGCCTTTTATTTGTGCTACGTGATCTTTCTGCTCGGGCTAGGGGTCTTCATACCATAGTGAGAAAAAACGCACGAAAGCCTGATAAACGCTCGGGCCTGGCAGATGGCGGAGAGAGCCGCCCATCGTTGAATAGTTTGGGGTTGATTTTGCCTACATAGGCTTACTTCTTGTAGAAAGCCCCAGGGGCGGCGAGGATGTTTATCGATTCGTCCTTCTTCGGATTTACTGGATTGCCGTAGCTTGCTCCTTTAGCATTTGGCAAGGGCTCGGGATCTCTATTGGGTCGCTCGGCACGACAAGGCGTGCACAAACACACATGCTGGAACACTTGCCCCGATCGCGATCTTTTTTGCGCCAGCGACTCAGCTTCTCTCAGAGCATGCGGCAGCTGGCGAAGTATCTTCGAAATTGCCGCTTGTAGGACATAAGCGTTCTGGACAATGTTCGAAAAGCCACCAGCTTGGAAGCCCCGACCCTTCTCGATGTTCGAGAAATCCTGCCTATCATATCTTCATCACTCCAGCATGCATAGCCTTGGATATAGCAAACCCCATTTCGGAGTTTCAATTGCAGTAGAAGCCCAAAAGTTGGAAACCCCATAGCCTCGATCCTTCAGAGTATATAATATGTATGGGGAATCCCAGCACTATTTGGCCTTAATCCGGTTTCCAACTTTTGGTTTAATGTTTTGATCGATTGCAGCCCGGCAGCACACAGGGTTGAGGCAGTAAGCCAAGGCATCATGGTCGAGAAGTGCAATCTGATTGTCCAATTGCCGCCTGAGACTTCTAGCTGATTACCATCGAAAGGAAACCCGTTGCTTAGGGTATGCGAATGTGAACGAACCGGGATTTGGCTCTGATTCTTAAGATTTGGGTGCCGAGGTTCAGTATGTGGGAAAATAAGTGCATCTTCGGTCGGATGCGAAATAAAGGCCAGCCTTTCGAGGCACAGTATCTGGCCAAGCATTGAAAGCCTTCCTTAGCTTGATCGTTAGCCAGGAAACCGCCAGCTCGTAACAGGGAGATGCGAGCAAGACTCAACAGCATTCCAACCACAGGCAGTGGCCTCTCTCGCAAGATCCACTGGCAGCCACACTCCCACGGAGTAAATCAAATGAAAAAATCGATTGCCCTCCGTCATTGTCCAAGCAAGCAGTTCCAGGGCTTCGTGCCCCAGATCCTCAGAGAACAACCCAACAGCCACAAGCGACCTACATATCAGATTACCTAGTTCCGAACATTCACGAATTCCCGACCCCCTCAACACTACAACCCGAATCGCCTCCATCTGCCGCATCTTGTCCCCAATCCACTTGCACAGCAAGGCCACATCGTACGCCTTCCCACAGCCGGTGGGGAACTGTCGCTGCCTGAGATTAAAGTGGCAAGGTTTAGGGTTGGGGGTTTAGGGTTTTAGGGTTTAGGGTTCAGGGAAGGCTTAAAAGGATTTGGGGATTGGCGCTTTGGTTTAGCTAAGTGGTTGGGGTTCTGGTTTTGTAGGATTCATAGGAGTGGTGCCGAGGTCTCGCTGTTGGGCTTTAGGGTATCGACTTCTTGACACTACCTAAGGCATTAGGCTTCCGAAGAAGGGTTTTGGGTTGGGGCAAGAAGACTTATGCATACCATTTTGGGGATAAGATCTCGGGTGTATTGAATTTGCTATGGGGTTCGGTTCTAAGGCTTTTGCTAGTCGTGGATTATGTAAGGATTTGCAGAAACAGGAAAACTGACTAACTCGGGCAAAGGGTCGATTTCACTTTGAATGTCTTGAGTTCGAATCGCTTGAGCGAAGAAGTTTTGTGATTCCGAGAACACCAGTCTGCAAATTCCCTGAAAGCTTCCGCAAGTTTGATCCCAATCTTTGCTTCGCCGAAGACCCCAAGCCTCGCCATTAGCAGTATGGAGCTAGCAGCGAGGTCTTTTCCGAAGCCGAGGTTGAAACAATGCATGAGGTCCGGCTGGATCCGGCTAGCTTCATCACCAGATGGTATTGATCTGAAAGGGGAGACCTTCCCCGTTTTGTAGGGGCTGGGGCTAACACCACTCCATGTGCGGATTTGCGAGCCAGGGCCCATGTCCCACCAATCCTGAGTAAGGATTTTGCTTGCTGCAACACACAACTGCGATCATTAAGTTCTTTCAATAGGAATGCTAAGTAAGATGCATCGCCAGGGCAGAGATGACACTTTCTCTTCGACGTAAATCCCACCGAAAGCCGATAGGCTTTCCGCAGCCACGGCCAATCGCCTTTCAAGGCGATGAAAGCCACGAAGATCTTCAGTCGCCGGCCGTCTTTGGCCTGATTGCAATCACAAATCAATCATGACAAGGCTTGCGAGGATTCACGAAACCCGTGCAGCAAAGCTTCAGTCACCGTAATTCCATCATGAAACAGTGTCGATAAATCATCAGCAAGTACTTCATGAAGACCCTCCAGAGTCCGGTCGTGGGCGGCGTAACAGGCAGAAGGCAAGATTGAGAAGAGCAGCCGGGTCGTGTACGGATGCCTTAGGGCAGCAAAGTCCACATAAACAAAATTAGGGAACCGTACAGGGCAAGTATATATACCTAGGAATAACTATCAGACTCGGTACCCCAGCGAGTTTACAACCGCATCTCCAAGAAAGCTGATCACCGGCTGAAAGGTTTCGACTAGCACCGGGGACTTCGCCAGCCCTCGGCCCTCGTCGCCATGAACTGCAAACGGCAGTGTCAAAGATCTCTCTTCAGCAGTTTTTTCCGCATATACCACATGATCGGGATCGACACCTTTGTACCGGTCCCAGAAGAGCGAAAAAACGCTCCGATATTCATCCTCCTCCTCGACAGGATGCCCGGCCAACAAAAACTCGGCACCACCTTGTTCCATCAGTGTTCGGATCCATGCACTTAGCCGGAGGACAGGCCAGTGCATGGTAGTCTCCCCCCCAGTTTTCTTCATCCGGCGGACACGTAGAGGGACAGTTGCAACCGGGATGGGAAAGGTTTTGCCACTTCGGTGAACATAGCGGTGTAGTGCTCGGGCTGCATTGTGGTATTTGCAAGTACCCAGACTTGCAATCTCCTCAATCTGAGGATCGATCACACCTGTGTTGGGAGACGATTTCTGTGTACTATCTAGCCATCTAGCCCGCCCCGCCCAAGCGCCTAGTTTTCGCATTCTTCGTGAGGCGATGGATGCAAAACGAACAACATGTCGAGCATCGGCCTGATGTATTGTGCGGTCTATTCATGCGATGGTGGAATGGGCACTGGGACCTATAATGAATTGCATCCAAGAAGCACCTTTCTCCATGTCCAGCATCAAAGCATCTGCCAGATCATCGGAGTCGGCATCGGATCCTGCCGACACATAGACCCGACATGTTTATTATATATAGCCAATGCCCGGTCGAAGACGTGCCTAGGTCTGGCTCTGGATCGGCCGCCGGCTGGGCATCCTGTGGGAGGCCTGCCGAAAGAAAGCGGTTCCTGCGTTTTGGGTTCGGTTGCTTAAGCTTCCCAGTGGGCAACATGTTGCAAAAGCACTCTTTCTCGTCTTGAAAGCAGCGACGATTGCCGGCAAAGCAAGATCTATGATTGAACGGCTTTGAACCGAGTATGACGTGTCAGACGAACACCCGGTTGTCCTAGCAAAAGCTGTCACCTCGCTGCTGGGCCTATCCCATCTAGAAGCTACAGACTTGGGGAGGCGGTTCTAGAGTGCTCTTATTCACGAAGGCATAGGAGGCACCAGCAAGGTGAGACCCGTGGCCACTTGTGCACTTCAGCACAAGCAGCGGCATAGCATGATAGTGCTATGCACCCAGATGCCACCCAACATGGGCAGGCATTCACTTGGACTTCTTGGGCTTCTTGGATTTAGGGGCTGACTCATCAGCCTCATCCTCATCCTTCTTGTTGGACTTGGCCTTCTCTTTCTTGTCTTTCTTGGTTTTCTTCACCGGCTTCTTAGGGCTGCTTTTCTTGGGCGAGGGTCGCTTGCCTTTGGATGTGGAAGGTGCAGGCTTGATGTTCCTTATTGCACAGAACAATATAGTTCTATGCAGTGGCCATTGCACACGTGCATAAGATCATCAATGCAGTCAAGTGACCGGCCACGAACGATCAAATTGTTCAGGGTCACATCAGCTTTCGTGCAGCTGACGAACAACTCCATGGCCCTCTTCTTGTGCTCCTCCGCCTTCCTGGGAAGCTAGTTGTTAACTGTTGCAGGTATATGAACACACCCCTTCGTGTGATTAAGCCGAAGAACTCACCAGCAGCATCCATCAGCGCCTCGGCCTCAAGCTCTGCCAGGCTGCTGAAAGCAGCATCCATCGTGTCGATCAGCTTCTGCATGTCGGAGGCGAGCCTGAGCTCAGTACTTGTACCAGCGGGGTCAGGGATTTGCAAAATACACCCAGACCTTAAGCCTAGACACATTGTGGCTCTGCTGGAGCCAGAACTTCGCATCTTCTCCTACACCAGGGACAGATTCTAGGCAATGGTTTCGTCCCCATCTATATAACCCACCCATAAACCCATTCTTCGGTTTTGTCTATTGAGCATTGTAGGGTCTAAGGTTTTAGGGTTTAGGCTTTAGGCCGGCTTTAGGATCTTTCGCTGGGTGCAGGAGACACCGCATGCATGATACATATGTTTCTAGGTCAGACATGCACATACTAAAAAGCTGCATGTTGACATAGCATGGATGTGCATAGTATGTGCATGCATGAGCAAATAGGCTACACGAGTTTTAAGTTGTGCACCCCTCAACCAGCCTGCTCTTTGGAAGCATTCTCGATCTTGTTGCCCAGCACCTTGATGAACTGCGGAAGAATCACCAGCGGGCTGTCCTTCTTGCCCAGAGTAGGGAAGATCAGCCTTGTCCAAGTTTGATTCAGGATTGTGGGGGTGGTGGCTTTGGGAAGGCCGGATATATAGCCTTTGCAATTTTTGGGTTTTCCGGCGCTAGGAAAAGTCTTTCGTGCATTCGTAGATCAATACTTTTCGGGGTGAGGATTTATGAGGGCTGGGCACCAAGACTGGCCGACTTTCTAAATCCTCAATTCTAAACCCTCAGCCCCAAACCTCAACCCAGGAAACCTGACCCTAAAAAGGCCCCTGCCTTAATAACCTAAAGGTGCACCCTAGTAACCCTATATATATATATATATATATATATATATATATATTGCAAGCATCTACACCCATTGCAATGCCTGGACCGCCGAACCCTGCAAAAACCCTGGCTTCAATTCCATAGCAAACCTCCTCCCCGCAACGGAACCGAAAGCGAAGACAGCGAGAGAGCGAGAAGGAGAGGGAGGGAGGGAGAGAGAGAGAGAGAGAGAGAGAGCGAGCGAGAGAGAGAGAGAGAGAGAGAGAGAGAGAGAGGAGAGGAGAAGAGAGAGAGAGAGAGAGAGAGAGAGAGAGAGAGAGAGAGAGAGAGAGAGAGAGAGAGAGAGAGAGAGAGGAGGAACATATGGAGGTGGCCTAAGTCGGCCTAAGTATACAAAGCGAATAATATATTATTTAATTGGTTCGAGCCAGGTGGCTTGGAGGAGGATCCCTTGGCCTCGGGCATTCGAGCATTCTCCGGCACGGCAGGCTCGCTGGGCTCCGGCTCGTCCAGAAAGGCATTGTCCGTGTCCTGTGTAGGGGTTGGTTACTTACAAATTCGGCAGGGTTCTATGGGTTTAGGGATAGTGTTGGGGGGATAGGATTGGGGTCTTGTGTTTTACAGTCCTCGAGGGTTGCTTCGCCACGAAGCTCGCGATCGGTTCCCTTCTCATTTTCATGCTCGAAGGTTTCTTCCAAGACAAGTCGGGCTTCTTCGCATTTGTGTACCTCGTTGGTACGAACCAGGCCCTTAGACTGGGCCCAGCTCCAGGAGTTATCCACCATAGACCTCGGGTGTTGGGTTTTACTGTGCCGGTGTACGATTAGATCGAAAGTAGCATCTCGAGTGATTGTGCTGCCCGAGCAGCTTGGAGTACTTCATGATTTCAGAGAGGTACTGCTTCGTCACCCAGCGACCTTTCTTGCCTTCCTTCTCCAGCTCCCTCACATACCGCTTCACATGGAACTCAAGCTCCTTGAAGCTTCCATGTTTCTCAAGAAGCAGTCGCAGCTTCTTGCCTTGGATCGCAAACACCCCAGGAAGTACCGGAGACAGTGCAGGGGAAGCGAATTTCGGGTTCTTAGGATTGGGGGCTTAGCCTCCGAGGTCTAGGGTTTGTAGGCTGTAAGAAATGTACAGGGTTTAGGGCTTTCTGGGCTAGGTCATCAAGATGACGTCCCTCGTCGGATCCATACAACTGCAGAGCCTCCTTCGAAGCTTTGCACGGCCCGTTGGACGGCTTGAAGTATCGTCGCATCCTGTTTGGATGTAGAGCAGCCTATATTAAAGTGATAAGTTCGATCTAATTTGATGATACTTAGGTATCATTATCGACAATACACTTGTGCAGACATAGAGCCTGTAACATCCTACAGAAAGTTGGGGTGTTGGTGTTTGAGGTTTAGGGAGTTTAGGGTCGATGGAGGATAGGGACTCCTGAAGTACATCTTGTCGAACTTGGATCGTGATGAGCTTGCATCCGTCGTTGTTGTCGAGGATCTCTTCAGGGAGGGCCGCTCGGTATTGTTGCTGGAGTCGCCACCCTCGCTTCCACGATTGGAGGTGTTGGCGCCACCCTCGCTTCCACGATTGGAGCTGTTGGGGCTCAGCTGGGAGTCACCGGGAGAGTAGCCCAAAGGAATGGAGTCCGAGGAGCGTTGCTTCTCCTCCGGTGCAGAGTGCTTGGTCTCGGGGGTGGGCTCTCCTAGGGTGGCACAGAATCTCCAACAGCTGTCGAAGGAAGAGCCTTTAACCCATGGGTCCTTCAGGTGCCGAGCTTTGGAGGGCCTTGGGCGAGAGGAGGATTCGGGGTGGTGGGTCGCCGCCTCCTTCTCGAAGTCCAGCTTCTTTGGGCTTGGCGTGGCTTCTGGCTTGTGCGATCTGTTCTTCCGGGAGGATCGGGTCCTGCTGTTGCGGCTCTTGGGGCTTTTGCTTGGGGGGCTGCTCAAAGGCTCGGCCCTCCGAAGCTCCGGCTTGTCAGGGACGTCCACAGCACCACCTGAATGGGTGTATAATTGGCAACCTTGAAAACAACATATCGGCACTAGTGCTAACACCTATGTAGTTTTCCCCCTGAGGTGTAGTACTAGTACGGCGAGGTCGAACCCAACTACTTCATATTCGTCAACTGATTAATCCGGTTCAACACCGACTCCCTTTAGGGTTTGTTTTTTTAAAGCTCGGGTTTAGGGTTTATAAGCTTAGGGGATCATATGAGTCCACCCAGAAATCAGGTTAACAAAACGAGGTGTTTTTTGGTGGTCCTTTAAAACCAACATGACTTGGGGGGTTTAGGGCTTAGGGATTGGGGCCCAGGTCTTTGTTATGAACTTACCCTCCTACCTTCACCTTCCTCGCTCGCAGGCGGTGGCACCTCATCATCTCCGGCATTCTTATCCGTCAGCTTCTGCTGCAAAGCCGCAATCCTTTTGCGAGTAGCCTGGGGTAGTGTGCAGGGCAGGCTTGAGGGTCTAGTACATTCAAAAATACATCATGTGCAGCCGATACGATGTGTCAACATGCAACCAAACAGCTTCGATCTGCTCCTGCAAACTCAGCCCCATCGTTTGCTGGCTGAAGCCGGTGCAATAAAGAACACGGGTCAATCCTACACAGGTCGACAAAACACTTTGAAGCCAGCCAGCTTCTTGATCCTGCATGATCGGATCAGATGCAAACAGGTCCCTGACAGCACGAGTTGAGAAGTGCGAATCACGAAAAGTGCACGTTTGCAGCTGCTCAGTAGAATGCATTCGATACACTTTTTGAATTTGCGCCCGTTTGCGCTTTTTTGCGCCGATTTGCGCCCGTTTTGCGCTGAATTGCGCTCGTTTGCGGGGCACCATTTCTGCGCTGGCGACCCAAAAGCAAAAAACGCTCGCGGCGTTCGAATTTGCAAACAAAGGCCCCGAACAAGCCGACAGAGCTACCCTATCCCCAAGCTTTCACTGTCTCTAACCCTTACACCCACTGCTCTCTCTTCCCTGTCTCTGTCACTCTGCCTCTCTCTCTCTCTCTCTCTCTCTCTCACTCTCCCTCTCCCTCTCCCTTTCACCCTCACTCTCTGTCTCCCTTTCCCTCTCACTCTCCCTCTCACTCTCTCTCTCACTCTCACTCTAACTCTCTCTCTCTCTCTCTCTGTCTCTCTCTGTCTCTCTGTCTCTCTCTATTTCTCTGTACAACATGGAACACATACCACACCTTCCGACCTTCCGTTCTGTCTCTACAAAGACTATGTATAATGCACGACATATTAAACCTTCCAACTGGTCTGTCGAGGCTGCAGGCTAACTGCCCCCCGCAAGTTCAGGCACAGGTTGTAGAGCTCGCAGAGCAGCCGTAGACCCCCGTAGAACCGGTGATGAATTACCTGAGGCAGTCTGTGTTGTGGTTTTGTTAACAGTCAGTCAGTACTTCAGAGGTTAGAGTCTCGGGCCTGGGTGTACGGGGTCCAGTGTTCAAGATTTCGGCACGACCCCGAGGTCCAGTCGTGGGTCCTGCGAGACCAAGCAAATGAGGCTCCACTGGAATTCGTGGGAGGAACTATTTTTAGTAAGGTTAGGAGAACACTTCGGAGTTCTGTTGGGGGCTTTGGCTTTGGGTGTAGATTCGGAGGCAGAGCCGGGGTGGGATCAGGGGAAGCATCCTTATTTGCCCTAGCACAACTCTAGAAAGACAGGGACTAAGGGCGAGAGCTTGTAGGGTCCGTTGTGAGTCCCCCCAGCAGCACCAAAAGCTTCGAAACTCCAAGAATCCGAAATCCTAAACCCGAAACCCTCCTTACTTTAAGGTGTCCGCCCCCGGACACCTTAAATTACACAACAAGGTGCTAGAGTAATTGGGTTACAGCGAGTGCTGCAACTCGGTATAACCCCATTACTCTAGCACCTTGTTATGTAATTTAAGGTGTCCGCCCCCGGACACCTTAAATTACACAACAAGGTGCTAGGGTATAGCCCCATTACTCTAGCACCTTGTTATGTAATTTAAGGTGTCCGCCCCCATTACAGACATCACCAAAGAATCACTTGGCCTAGGGTTTAGGTTTTATAGGCAGGGTTTAGGGTTTTGGGTTAATAATAAACTAAACCCGAAGCCCAAAACCCCAAGCCTAAACTCGAAACCTCGAACCCTTGCAGGCATCACCACAGAATGACTTAGGCTAGGGTTTAGCTCTTATAGGCAGGGTTTGGGAAGGGTTTGGGGTTTTGAGTTAAGGTATGTATATTATATTAAATTTTAACCCAAAACCCCAAACCTCAACTCGAAACCTGGTACCCTGAAGCCTAAACCCTAAACCCTAATGGGGTCAGGCTGGGTTCTATCCGAGCACCACTCCGGTCTGTTTTGTTTGTAGATGCCCAGGACACAGCTGCACTGCCTTTTTTTGCAGCAGGCTACGACATCATACGGAAGCTGCTAGCTAAGGTCTGTAACAAGATTGAGAGCAGCTATTCCTGGCTGCGTGATCTCTAACTCCGAGGATCAAATAATAGCTTGGCTTGCAGAACCCACTGCTAAAGCTGAGTGACACAGGCCGTCATGTCAATGGATACAACGAAGCTGACAACCAGCCATTGTAAAGACATCTGTCAGTTCGGAAGTCAACTTTTGAAGCCTGATTGACAGGCCTCTGTAGCAGCTGCTCTGTTTCGCTATGACATCGGAGCCCCATGCTATACCGTCCTCGCACTTTCCAAGCCTCTTATGTATCCGGGCAACCTCAGCTCGCAAAGCCTCACACTCGGCCCTGAGTTCGTTCACCTGCTCTTTCAAATTGTGATTCTCCAGCTGCAAGGAAACGAGGGCACATCGAGTACTTGGATCCATTCAGGCCGAGGCCTGGCCTTCTGATATGAATGCCCTGGAAGCCGGACCGAAAAACCCCGAGCAATGCTAGGCTTGCAATCGAGCCAAAACTTCTCGTGTTGGGGTTTAGGCAGCTTGCTGCAAACCCATCGAGTATGTATCATAGCTTTGCACACCATTGCAGCTTAGAGTCTTTTTTCTTCGATACCAGGAAGCCCCACCGACAGTCCGGAAGAGGAACTTGTCGTGAGTAGAAGATTGTCCTGGGATGCAGATATTTCGGTTGCTTGGATAGTTATAGGGTTTAACAGCTATACATTCCCCGTCAGAATAGGCCACGAATGTTGGGCTTCCAGTTCAGGCTTCAGGGCTTCAAGTTCGGCGCTTGCGGTTTCGGGTTTGGAATATTGGTTTGGGGGGTTTCGGGTCGAAGCTCATTAGGGGCCCGTGATGAGACTGGGCCAGGACTTGGTGTTTTGGTGTGCGATAAGCTGGGGAATCCGGTTTGGGGTTGAGGAGTTTAGGGTTTTGGGTTTAATCCCTGGAGCCAAACCGAATCCCCAGACCCCTAGCCCCTTGGTGTGCGATAAGCCGGGAAATCCGGTTTGGGGTTGAGGAGTTTAGGGTTTTGGGTTTAATCTGGGTTTTTCAGTATAGGCCTGGGATTCAGGGGCCCCGGCTGGAATACAGCTGTTAAGGCTAGGAACCCTGGAGCCAAACCGAATCCCCAGACCCCTAGCCCTTGGTACTATCTATTTATTTATCTAATCTATCTATCTATCATATATATATATGTATATTTATAACTACAGATAGAATATCTCAACATAAATTATATATATATATATATATATAGATAGACAAATCGATAGATACGAAGCTGAAACAGAAAAGCCTAAAACCAAGGGATCCCAAAATCGCAAAACCCCGAAAGTTGCATTATATCTCTAGCTAGCCTCGCCTCGGAAATCTTTTGGACTAGCTCCTCTGTATCAATGTACCTTAAATCCCCAGATCCTCGACTCTCGTATCCACCGACTCCAAATCCTGAAAAGTCTGAGCCCTTAATTAAACCCCAATACCCTCACCCTGCACCCAAACCGCGAGCTCCGGAGCCACTCGGATCATACCACGGCTGGAGCCAGAAGTTCTCCACCGATTCCTGGGTTTAGGGGCTAGGGGCTTAGGGTTATCTGGTTTTGCTAGGTGGGGATTGGACGAGGTGCTGATGTGTCACAGACAGCAGAGGCTGCCGTCGTAGGCCAGACCGTAGGTTCAGCAGCACTAGACAAATTTGGGGCCCATGGCTTTCCTGTTAACGACAAACACCCTGAGAGCACTCATGCTACAAGCAGCGATGTTCGATCGCAGCAACTGGCAATCCTTTACACAGCATCAAGCTTTCAACAGGTCAGAGCAGCGGGCCTACACCAGAGAGTGCTGCTCGGACGGCCCAGCCCTCGATGCGGGGCATAGACCTGCGTGGGGGAGTGGCGGTTCTTTTGGGACAAGGGCTCTAATAATGAGTGACAATGTCAATGTGTCATATATAATGCCTAGCAGCCTAGCAGGCCTAGCAGCACAGGGCATACGATCAACATGTTTGGTCGCGAAGTGCACCGTCGTCTGGCGAGTATTGGTTAAATCCAATGACACAGCCACATGATGATAGCCTGGCATCTACAACTAGCCAGCGGCTAGCACATGGCTGCAAAGCCCCAGTGGCACACTAACTTGGCAACGGCATTTGACCGGCCTCACAGTGCTCCCTGCCGTCCTACGTATCAAAACCGGTGCTTTCAGCGGCCAATCTTCGCATCATCAGAAAAAACCCCAAACAAAATCGTTCAGCCATAGCTTCACTTCGTTCTCCGGTAGGCCTTCCGAGAAGGACAACATGTGTGAACATTGCATGTTATAGAACCGACTAATATTACATATCTTAATTCTAGATGCGACATCACGATAAACTGAAGTAGGGTGTGTATGTTTCCATACCAGTCCTCCTTCGCCTGCAGCTTCGCATTGGGGGTATCCAAGCCACGTGCTTTGGCCTCCTTATGGGCTTTGTGATAAGCCGAACTCTTGCGGCTTCGAAGAGCCTTCTGAATAGCCACTCGCTCCTCCTCGGTCTTCGGCTTGTAGATCGTTGAGTTGCTATCCGACTCATCATCACCATCTGGCTCCTTGCGGCCAGCACTGGCCTTCGCTTGACCCTTAGCCTTAGCTTTGCAGACTTTGGCCTTAGCAGAGATCTTTGCCTTGGCCTTTGCCTTCGGTTTCGCCGTCTCCTTCGGGGTGTCCTCAGCCGACTGGGGCTTCCGGGCCTTGGCTTTCTTGGCTGGCCTGACGACCTCATCTTCATGGTCTGATTCATCCTTCTTGGTCTTGAGCTTCTTGCTGGGCGGATCCTCCCCATGCTTGTCGGCCTTCCGCTTCGAGGCCTTTCCAGCACCTTTGCCTTTTCCACGGCCTTTGCCGCGGCCTCGGCCGCGGCCCCGGCCACGACCACGCTTCGGCGGGGAAGCATGCTCCTCATCTTCGCGATCAGTCGCCGCATCCTCAGCCTTGGCAGCATGCGACAGGGTGGATTGCTCTTCGGGCGAAATCGCAGCAAGGCGATCCAAAAGCTCCGGGCGGGAAGGCCGAATGCTGCATTCCCCAGAGGCAGCCCCAGTGTCTGCTTCACCGTCAGCAGCATGATGATCTGAGCAAGCCTCAGAGCGGCGAGCACTGTATCGCTGAGTCCTGCGAGGATCATCAGGATGATCACTATCATCATCTTCCGGCTGGGTGTCATTCTCATCCTCGCTGCTAGGGCGAATAACTCGGTCCTTCGGAGTGACGAAGCCATCACCTTGGACTGGGCTCTTGCTCCCATCCACCACTGGCTCGGGGCGTGTGCCTGACTCTTCCAAGACCTCGCTGCGGGAAATTCCCTCTGGGCTCTTGCTGCCATCCACCACTGGACCGGGGCCTGTGCCTGACTCTTCCAAGCACCCGCCGGAAATTCCCTCTGGGCTCTTGCTACCATCCACCAATGGCTCGGCGCCTGTGCCTGACTCTTCCAAGACCTCCTCGCCGGAAATTCCCTTTGGGCTCTTGCTGCCCTCCACGGTTGGCTCGTGCAAAAGAAGCGGGGCTTCGGGATTCAAGTCTGCTGCAGCAGACTCAAAGCGATGCTGCTTCACCACACCTTGCACAAGGTCGTGCATCATCGGCAGGGCATCACTCACGAGGTCATACGGGATCGTGTCATCGCCTGGGCTGACACAGGATGGCCAAGGTAGGGTTGTATCCAGGTCAAAGATATGCTTGGCTAGGGTTCAGGGGTTTGGGGGGTTCAAGGTTTCGGGGTTTAGGCTTGGTAAAATAGTGAACATGTAACACGAGTCTCGAATATCGCATGTGGAAATGTCTGTTCAGGATTTCGTGGTTCTTCAGAGATTGAGATTAAAGTCTCGGACATCAGTGTGTTTATGTGTGTGTGGGTGGGGTTCTCTGTGTGCGTGTGTGTGTGTGTCCCTGTGGGAGTATGGAAGTAGCATGGTCATGCTATGTAATCGAACACACTTGACATGCATGGATGCTCTAGACTCTAGTCGAGCCAAGCAGCTGGTGACATGATAAGGCTTTTTGATCTCTTGCTTGCCTTCATCAATCACAAGCTGAGCAAGAAGATCAGCCAAGTGGAGTTCTTCCTCTTGCAAAGCTAGCAGAACCTGAAGCTGAGCTAGATGGGCTTCTTCTCGTAGCAGCACTTCAAACTCCTTCTTCCGATCGGCCGTACTGGCGGGGATGGGGATCGCGATCTCTTTGAGCTGGAGCTCTTTGGCAACACTCTCAGCCCCATCCAAATCACAACCTCGGCGACTCAAAACCAATAGCTTAATCTATAGCCCTAGACACATGTAGGCAAGCACAACGTGAAACCACCATGTGAGTAATCCCTAGATATAGCTTGCAGTCCAAAAACACTTTCGCTTCGGAGTACGAACGATCTCGGATCCACTGCTTTGCTTCCCCAAGCTCATAGATTCATCTTTGCCCCCAACCCAAGGATTGTCACTCGAACTCATGGAACGAGTGCTCAGCCTTCTATCCGGAGCCGGTGCCGAGGATGCTCGGCGTGGCGGCGATCCTGGACTGGGGCAGATCGGGACCAGTTGCTCATTGCCTACAGGGTGCTTGGTGAACATATTAACCCGTGCTGTTGAGACACTGCACTTCGGGGACTTCGCATAGGCCTCTGTGTCCGAGAAGGCCTCATCCTCCCAGGGGTATATAGGTTTGGGGTTGGAGTACAGCAGGATCTAAAATGTAAACCGCAAGCCCCTTCAACCTAAACCCGATAAAACCCAAAGCCCCTAGACCACTTAGGCTCTGGTGTAGTATCTCCGTTATGTACAGAAGGTAACCACTACTTCAAGAGTTCAACTCCCCGACCTCTGAAAATTCAGACTCGCTCTCGCCAGTTTCACTGGCAGCCGACGAAGAAGATTCAACATCCTTGCCCTTGGAGTCGGACCCGTCCGAACCCTCGTCCCATCCACCTCGGAGGTGCTGAACTGCTAGCTGCAACTATAACCAGTAGCTTGTTGGATACCTCGAAGTGTGTATTGTATTGATGTAGAACATGTATACCCCGGACCTGTTATCTATTTGCAGAGGGCCCTATATGTAAGGGTTTCATAGCACACCAGAAGAAAGTACGAAGGCGCACTCCCACCCAGGGCACGAGGCTTCGGAGGCAGCGGGATGCCTGCAGCCCTGTAGATTTCCTGCATGCCCTTGTGTCTTGGGTAATGGCCTCGTTTCGCGGAACGAGCGAACAGACTGATCATTCTCCGCAGAAGCCAAGCATGCATCTTGCAAGTCTCGCCTCAGATGGACATTCCAAGCCTCAAACCCTGTAGGCCCCCAAAGGCAAGAACCCCCGGAAACACGAAAACATATCCCTACCCCTAGAAGACTTAAACATACCCGATTTCCGTAAACCCTCAGCCCTTCCCCCCCCGCCTATGCACCCTAACCCCGAAAGCCCCACGACCGAAAACAGTCGAACAAACCATCACAACCAACTTCTGTGAATCATCAATCTGCCAGAATTGAAGAAAATATCACAACTGCATTATCAATTATTGTATTGGTCGTGATGCTGAGAGAACACTCTAAACTTTGACCAAATTGCGCTTGACTTCCGGCAAGCCGGCAGGCTTTGCAAGCCTCATCATCTTTTCGACATCATGGAATAAGGCGTCTACCGACGGCCTCAAACCATGATACCGAATGACCGGTATCAAGATCTCTGAGTTACAAAGTAGGTCACATTTGCTGATGTGATCCTTGTTGATCACAGCCAGACCTCCTGCTGCAGCTCTATTGCGGATCATGACATTGCCAAACCAGGCATCCACCGTAGGGGAAGCCATGGCACACAGGTGTCTTACTTTCAGACCACCAAAAACAAAAGCACAAACAGCCTCGAGATCAGAATAAATAAAATTCTGGCAGATGCTGATTCAGAGAAGAACTCACAATGCACCCAACAAAGCTGGCAGGGCTTGGAAGCACCTCTCTAAGCCGCCCCAGGCAGCTTACCATCGCCCGTACCTGTTTGATTGCACACTCAGGTGCCTACATGACCTATGACATCGAGGTATGCATACAACATACAATCCCGGCGCACACCTTCAGTCGATCATCATCGGCACTCGGTGGCTGCTACATTTCAGCCAAACAGCTGGCTTGTCGTCACTTAAGTTGCTATCCAAATCCGATCTAGCCCCATATTCTCTTATCTAGACTAAGGCTAAGCATCACCCAACCTCCAAAACCAAAAAACGCTCGAAACTCAGATTTCTGCTCGCGAGCCCCTTGCATATTAACATACACAAGTTTAAGTAACGAATCCCAGTTTCGATAGCGAAACCACCCTCGAGCACAAATAAGTGTATCGAAGGAGTCCCCAGGTAGGGGAGGTTGGGCAAGGCAGAATATGCTAGGATCATATCTCAGCCCTGGACTCTAAATACCTTCTGCCACCTAGATCTAGGGGCCTGTGTCAAAGACTTAAAGACTTTGGGTTTCAGCGCGGGCTGTTGAGAATGCTGTGCATCTACTACTTGGGTTACGCAGGGCTGCAGTAAAGTGTGTTGTGAGGTCTCAGACGGAATCGTAACATGCAGTCCTTCGAACAATGTGGTTGGCAGTGCCTTGAATTTCGAAGTGAATGCTGGCTTTAGAGCTATCATATGCTATCATCGTTGTTGACAGGTGTTAGATGTGATATTCCGGGTGTGAGGCGTGACAGGGTTGCCCTTCCGACAGCATGCAATGCGGCCTGGGTTCCACGTTGTTCCGTGTCGACCCTCTGAGCCTCGCACGCTGAACCTCAGCTCGCGCTCAACCTAATATTAATTTCGAAGGTTCTTGTGCTTTGGCGTCGTGGCTCTGGCCATGTTAGTGTTTCGAGGCTGGGGATCTGTTTTTTCTATGAAGCATGAGCGTAAACACAAAGGCCATTGCATGCGAACGCCAACAGCTGATCAGAGTAAAAATGCTGGTGCAAACTGCGGACGCATAACTTTAAATGCCAGCGTTGCAGAGCATGTGATGTTCCAGAAGAATTGTATCGAACAGCACGAGCTGTAGGAACCAAGAACGCTGCACAGTCATCCTATGTTATGTCGATAATGCATGTCCATGTGTGCGTCTCTTCCTGTATATGGGTGGTTGTCAAAATTAGGGTCCCTTTCTGGGTCCCTATTCTAATACGGCACCATAATTTTGACAACCACCCATATTGAAGTAGAGATATCTTTGAACCTCGACCCCCCAAAAGGCGAATCAAGCCGTGCAGGGATCTGAGGCTTGTGACCTGCCAAACCCTGTGCATCAGGCCAATATATTGCTCAGCCCAAAGTCGTTTCAGCACGCATGCGCCATCAGTTCTCCGGACTCTACGACTCCAGGTGCGTTCTCAAACCCAAACGAAATCAGCTGGCCGCTCTTTGGTCAGCGGTGAACGACAAATTTGGCTTCGCAGCTTGCTCCTGAACAGGCAGACTCCAAATTGAGCAGAGACAGGGGTTACAGGAAACCCTGAACAAGTGACCCAAAGCTGAAACCCAAAAATCCTCAAGGCAACAAGCCCTTCATCTCATTGGCGAGTCTTCGCAGTACGCAGAAGGGCCCGGATGCCCAGTAGGGTTTGAGTTCAGATGGTTTATACGGTATACGTTCTAGGGCCCATGCAATTTTATGGTCAAGGCCTTCAGGGTTCAGGAGTATGGTTCATATGATTTAAGACAGTTTCAACATACACGTTCCTGCAACTTTGCGGTGGTGCGGCCGCAGGTGTTGAAGGCTTGGAGATGTGTTTAGGGTTGGGCTGCCAGGGCTGAGAGCTGGCTCCACTCAGTAGGCCTATCTACCGCTTCGTCACTCTGAGCCCGAAACCCGCCAAGTACTTCAGCAGGCTTCCAGCCTAAGGTGCTTTGTCGTTCACCCCTACAGACTTTTCGAACCACAAACCCTGAAGCTTCATGAAGCTTGGATCCAAAAGAGCCTTGAAAACCCCAAGCTCTTCGCCTCTAGATAACAAAGCACGACAATCCTCATAGCCTAAGCCTGTTTCGGCAATGCTCCCTTCCACTCCTGCAAGACTCCGACTGTTTCTGCCTCCCAGGCCTCTCGCCGTCAACAGTTTCTCTGTGCGACCTGCCTTCGGTTTAGAGTCTAGCCTAGGTGAGTGGGTTGGGTTCCATGTCAGATGTTGGAGACTTCTCATTCTTCGTGCCGGGGGTTTGGAATTCCACTTCAGGTTTCTTCGAGTGCTCGCCCGCTGAATATGACTATGTTTAGGGAATCTGACTGGGTGCTGGCATTGTCGAAGGTTCCCTTTCCCTTGTGATTTATCCGTGCGAAACTCTCCCAGGCTTATCAGCGAGTGTGAGCAGCAGGGATGGGAAGGTGCAGCTGGGCCGTTTCGGGTCAATGTAAGTTTAGTAAAGGCTCGGGTCTCGGATGTACTAGGACCTAGCAACGTGGGTGTCTTCATCTGACGCAGCTGTGAGTACATACCCTGTTGGGCATACAGGCTTCCAGAATGGATCAGATTCAGGATTTAAGGAGGTGAGGTTTGAGGGATGAGGGATTTGGGGTGTTCGGGGTATTTGGAGGCATGCAGGTCCTAGGGTGTGTGGTTCACCGTTCAGGGTCAGTTTAGTACTGGGCTATTGATTTTCAGACCTGGGTTTCTCGGATTCCTTAAACACCAAGCCCAACAGACCCTGACCAGCGCTGCATACAGCTCATACGCACACGGAAGCAACCTTCCAGACCTCATACCGTAAGCCTATGCAAAGCCCAAAAGCATTCATCCCAAGTCAGGACCTCGCCAATCTCCACTGGGCCCACAAAAGACATGTGACATGAACACTCAGAATGAACATCCTCTAACAAGGAGCTAGGTTCTGCCAGGTTGGGGTACGCTTCCGGGTGTCATGAAGACTCAACCCCAAATCCTTGATGGAGCCTCTGCGTTCGAACCCCTTGAAACTACTGCCAAAAGTCATAAGTCCTAAATCCCGCGACCCCGAAACCCTAAAACCTATGGCTTAAATCCGGAACCTAAGCCCTAAACCCTAAACCAGAAGCTGTAACTTGGCAGGGCAAGAGGAGCGCTTACTGGCTGCTCGGACTGCACTGAAGAGCTTGAGAAACCAATGCTTAGGGACTTTAGGAATGCAGGTCTCGGGATGTTGCAGGTTTTAGGTTTATGTGGCAATCTTTTTGATGTGCCTTTGAGCCTGTGCGAGAGGGTTTGCAGCTTGCAGAATGCATCAGAGTCACCCTCAGGGGTCTGGGCGAAATTCGATCTATTGGGGATTGATTTGGTGCGATTTGTTGCACTTTTTTGAATCTCCCATAACAAAATGTGCTCGAGCCGTTTTCCGAGTTTGGAGTCTGGGTTCGTGTTGATGGGCTAACTGTTGCAGGATTTGGTACTACAATCAGCATGCCATTTCCTGGGTATCCTGCTTCATCAAAAAGCGCATTAGCTGCGGGTAGTAGTGTGACATTGGGCTGGTGCCTGCGGCTTCGGATTTTGCTGTCAATTCAAGCTGAATACCCTGTTGCACAGCTCCTACAACGAAGAAATTTCTGACACCGTTGAACCTATCTCCACACTTCACTTTTGTAGCCTTCATTCTCCGCGCCGAAGGGAGCGCTCAGCTCCGAATGGCTTTGGGCTGTGCCCTCAAAGAGCAGACCGTTCGGATTTGGGGACTGAAGTAAAATGTCCCGAGTGTAGGGTTTAGGGTATCGTAAACTACTCTTCTTTGTTCGGCTCCCAGATGCTTCAGCAGGATTTGTGAAGACCCTAGGAGCGAGTGCGTAAGGTTGTGGTGCTTTCACGATAGTGTCTCCAGGGTTGGGTTCTAAAAGTTCCAGAGATTCGTAGTTCGGGGTTTGTGGGGGATTCGGGTTGTGAGTCGAGGACGGAGGGATAACTGTCTAATGGAGTTTTGCAGTTCAAGTATGTTTCATTTGGGGGTGAGGCTTGTGGTCCGGGGACTTTCTGTTTTTAGTTCGGTTGAGGGATGTCGAGGGTGTGTTTCTTGTGGATTAACTCAACCCGGTGTTGGGTTTCACGATCAAGGGAGTGTGTGTTGCTCTCTTGTTTTCTCGCTCTCTCTCTCTCTCTCTCTCGCGTATGTCGTGCTGCGGGTGTTGGTGCCTCTGCGTGCAATACGGTATAGAAAGGCGGTAAAATCACGCATGTCACTGCATGTCGATGTCAGGAAGTACATAGCTGAGTCTGTGTTAGCATTTGGAGAGGGAGAGGTACACAATCAACAAGCACTCATAGCGGCCACAACACATCAAAGTGCATGCTGGAATCTGTGTACGGGTGGAAGTGTGGCTCAAAAACATGCACTGGCTGCAGTTTGGGAGCCGCAGTACCTACCGCTAGCATCAATCACCCTTCACAGCCAGGACTGATTCCCAAGATTAGGAGGGATGTGTTCGTGGGTGGAAGGGTCCTCCCTCGCAGTTCGACGTTAGATGAGTTATTGTGAGGCTCGGGTCATGTACCAAGTGAATTGTCGACGTGAAAAAAAATTGGGACTTGTGGCTCGGGGATTCAATTCGAACCGTGTCAGTCTTCGCAGCATCATAAACTCGGTCCCTCATTTGCTACTTATGCTCTTAGGTTGTTTCCGATGTCGACATCTGGGTGTGACTGCCATTCAGACCCGTCGCCGCCGTCGTCTTTCATGCGCATTATCCAAACGCGTCTCCCGGTTTCGATCCGTTTCGATGTATGCATATACCACTGTTTTCATAAAGCGTCGTCGCATGGCACAGGGCGAGGCTATGCTTTACAGACGAGTGAGAGACTGATTGACTTGAACAGGGGGTCCATTCTTGGCGATAGGCTACGCCCTATATACACCCATACTGTACTTGTAGCACCTACTTCAACTGAGACCCCAAACACCCGAAGGCCCTAAACCGTAAGCAGGTTGTGAGACCCCAAGGTTTGCTCCCCGGACAGTTTTACACAGCACCGAAAAACGTTTCGAAACTCCGCGTAATCCATCTCCCGGGACCGAAGCTTCACCCGAAACGGTGACCCCACACAGGCGCCCGAACCCCACCGCTCCAAGGCCCATGGCAAGATCGTTGCAGCCCTGCCGCTGCGACCTCGGTATGCCGGACAGTGGAAGGCCGTGGATTGGTTTTGGGGCCTGGGCTTGGGGTTCAAGGGCTTAGGCTTGCGAGAGTCGGTTCTGGGCCTCGGGAATAGATTCAGGGCGTGAGCGTGTGTCTGGGAGCACCAGAGTACCGAGGATGTCTGGCTCAGAAGTTGAAAGGCATGTCGGAGGAAAGGTGCAACGATGTGCCCTCCGAAAGGCCATACCCCCCGAAGCCCCATAAACAAGCTGGATGACGTCATGTACGGCTGTTGTTAGGTCTCCAATGACTCTCTGTGTGTCTGTGTGTCTATTCTGCACATATGTATGAATATGTATAGACAGATGGACCGATAGACATATATACATGACAGGATCCTGGAGCCCTGACCCTAACAGTTCGATGGAGAGGCGGAGCTGCTGCTGCCCGTTGCGCGGCCTTCGCGAGTCCAGACGTTACAACCACAGCGACTTAGCCCTACTATCATTTGTGGTTTTAGAGGGTTAAGAGTTAAGGCTCGTAACACCCCAGTTCAGGAAGGATTCAGGGTTTAGGTTTCAGGGTGGTTTCAGGCACCAGGTGCAGAGCCCTTCCCGAGGAATTTTGCGAAACGGAAGCTGGAAGCCAGCGGCTCTCGCCCCTCGCGCTTTGAAGGCACCTTTCAGTCCCTGCTTGGAATCAATATCGAGGAAAACCTTCCTTTGTTGCTGCACCTACCCGCTTAAAGCATGCCATAAGGGCACGTGGTTCAGGTTTCATGAGTCTCGCAGTAGATCGCATTAGTCTGTCCTTGATAGGCGCGCAAACACTGAACAGCACGTCGTGGCCTTCTTGCCGGGCTTAAGTTTCAAAGTGACCTCAAGCCCAGAAGACAAGGTGAGGGAGGCGGCTCCAGGTGTTCTTACAAATCCTTTGACCTGCAACCTTTAACCTTGAAGCCCGCCTGTAAACCCTGGCATCCTAGAAAGTACGCATCATGTCTTCCCAGGTCCAGACCTTATGCCGGAAGGACGTAGCTAGCTTGTTGCGTTTCCGGCATGCACTGCATTTATCAGAGTTTGCACCGCTCAGCTTTCCGGAGCTTGCGGAGTTTTGACTTTGGCTTTAGGATGATAGGGTTCAGGCTTGCGCGGTTCTAGGTCGGACAGGATTATGGCCCCAGGGGTTTAGGGTGTAACGTTCAGGGAGTGTGAGACAAACATGTTGATTCAACCGTCCCATGCGGCCTTGCGGCAGTTTGGTGCCGCGAAAAAATTGCAGTATCGAGTTAAGAGTTTGAGCCTTGGGGTTCAAGGGACCGAGTTTACGGTCAGCCTTGTCAGTGGGGATGCATTGCCCTGGAGCCCTTTCCTGTGCTTATACTGGTTCACGAATGTTATTGGCTGATGTTAACTTTTGGCTCTGCAAAAGTATATCGTCCTTGTCGAAGCATCCGTGCACAAAAGCTTGCCGGACTGTTCAAGACCCCGTGCAGCGCCGTCCTGTATCCCGTGCAAAGCCCCCGGAGCCCCAAAGCTTGCGACCCTCAACAAGCTCAGTCACCAGAAGCGAGGATGCCCGTGCGCAGCTTAGGCGCAGCTGGCAGTGCAGGCTGCTGGGTGCCTGTAATTTGAAGAGTTTTGTTGTGAGAGGAACAGGGTTGGGAGTAGCAGCATGCATAGCTTAGCAGCACAGCTGTTAGTGCTGGCAGGGATGATGTTTAGACTTTAGGTTTGATTGGACTTCGTCTATACCTTCGCAGGATCTGCCGCTGCGCCTTACTCGAAAGAGCTGCGCCTGCTGCTGCATGCCGGAAGCTTACATCAAAACATTACTTAAGCTTGACACGCATGAGGCGAGTCTTTGTTTCGGTGGCTGGAGCTGTACGAACCAAATCGTCCAGTGGAGCAGGAGTTGGGCGAGTAGAGGGTTGGAGCATGTATGCATTGCACGTTATCATAAGTCTTTAACCCTACACTTTATACCATAAAGCCACAAATCCTAAAGTGTAAATTTGATTGAATCCTAAGCCCCTAAGCCTAAACCTGAAGCCACACACCCCAAAGGTGTTCACAATCCATGGTTGAGTTGTTGGGGGCTCTTCGTCTTTATGGGCCAGGCAGCCAGCCGTTCTCCTGTCTGAAGCTCGGGAACCAACGCTTACATACGCACGGCGGGTTTAAGTGAGCTCTTAAATTGCACCTCAACCTCAACTTGTGCAGTGCGTTTGCCTTGTAATACTTTTTGGCTTTTTGGTAGATTTCAAGCGCCTCTGAGCCCGACCCTGAACCCTAATTTCTTCGGCCCTACACCAAGCAATAGGCTGAGCGAGGTCTTGCATAGAGCAACTGCTGGGAGTCCGAAGTCGGTGTGCGAAAACATCGAGGGCTTCGGCAGCCATTCGCAGGGACCTCGGTTTTCGTGCGAGACTTTCGTATTTAAAACTTTATTTGGGGCTCTTGAGGGTTTTAGTTTTGGCAGTTCAAGGTTCATGGTTTGCCCAAGCTCTTTCGAGCTCATGCGGCTTGGTTTAGCGTGGAGCTAGGAACCCAGAAAGCACCCCTAACATTCACTCCAGACAGTGCTTCAGAGAGTTTCTAGGAGCCTTCGAGCGATGCACACTGACTCGGCCCAGTCCAAAACCGGCCTCCACACACTGAGAAACTAGACCCTCGCGCCCTGCGGCTTCCACCATAGACGAAGCATCCGATGCACTAAAGCATGAAGATCTTGACCAAAGATCCTGCATCTGCAACCCCAAACCGGAGAGCCAACCCGCCCTGCTTCTGAGGTTGGGCCAGTCGCGATCCTGGCTGAAATTGGCCGGAGGCAACAAGGCTCGAACACCAGGTTTGAGATGCTGCATGGGCCAACCCCCTTCTCGATTTTGAGGTTTAGGCTCACAAGTCGCAAAAGCGTTTCCAGTCGTCGCGGGATCCACACCGTCCACAGCTCAAAGCGATCAAAAGGATCGGGGAGCACTTGCCTATTTGCGGTGCCAGGTTCCGGTTCCTAAATCTCTTGGAGCTGCTGTGCGAGTTCAACACGAAGCCACGAAGCTAAACTCCGCTCATTTTCTCAGGGCTTGCCCGCTGAGCAACTTAACAGCTGGCTTTGGATTATTGGATCTCAACAAATTTAGTTAAGCCCCAAACCTTGGCAATGCCCACGAAGACTTAGTGGAAGTCTGGAAAGGCAAGCCCAAATCGTGGATTTGCAGGCGAAACATCGAGATTAAAGAACGTGATGAGGGAGCGGCCCAACGCTTAGCCTGAACGCCGACAAGCCCGAGCCCTTAAACCGTACGCTTCTTTGAATTGGAGGATTTTGCAACACGCCCCACCCCGACAACTAAAGTAGCGCTGGGCTAAGCGATGCCTATGTCGAAGTTGCAGTACACTTCTGCAGTTGGGGTGTCGTGTTCACTACCAAGCCCTAGAAGCCCAGGTATCCATGTGGTGCATTACTGTGCATTGTAATTACTGTAGGTGCCTTCTTCAGTAGAACACCATCCATATGCACGGCCCATGTGGATTTTTTGGCAACGGAACTGGACGGTTCAACGCTTTAATCTCGCCCCCACACCAGACGGCTAGGCTCCAGTTCTGACTTGTGCATCACAAGCTGCACCACCGCAGACCTCCGTCAGATACTCAGGAGGCGAGGGACCGCTGAGAGCATAGTTGCCCCCTCAAGGTTCTTGGAGTTCAGAGCCCAAGAGATTCTGAGGGATTTGAGAGTCAGGATGCGGAGGGCTTAGAGTCATTCGCTGCAAGCATGGATTCAGTACCTAACGGTATTCCCTACCGGACAACCTTTGGAAGCTAAAGGCCCATAAATGCACGACCCAGAAAGACGTATCCCTAACGAAGACCGAAATATCCATACCTCAAACATCAATGGAACATCCCAAAGCCGCTTACCAACATTGTGCATGCGGAGATTTTTCTGAGTTGGATGTTCGCGTGGTCGCAATGCTTTTGCAAGGTCCGATCTCCTCCGATGGTTGGCCGTGAGTTGTTTTCCAATTCATAGCAGCTGGGTGTGATGAGGCTGGACAGTTCAGGGCATTGGGGTTTACGATGTTGACGGCGATTGCCGGTGATTGCAAGTGGTGATGATCATTGGCGTTACCCTCTCGGTAGGGTTCTGTTGTAAATGCGCGACCTGCAGAAAGCTTCAGGAACCCCAAAGCCAAATCCGTACTCCCCAAGCTGACAAGGTGCTGGAGATCGGCACATACTGCGGCCAGGGGGCCTGGGTCATCTTGAATCTTGCTTCAGGTTTGGTTTAGGGTTCTGCGGTTTAGGATTGCCATGCCTTGTTGGCCGGGGATCTGAGAGAGTCCTCAAAATTCAGGAGGTCTGAGGCAGTGTTGGGGTTGCCGGAAATCTAAACCTGACACAGAGTCCGACCCCAAAGCCACTACATGCGTGCCTTGTCTGATGAATCCGTGCCCTGTTCATTGCGCCTCCCTTGCCTGATGCATGAGTCAACCTGCACTGAGTCTGGCTAGCGGCGAAAGCTTGGGATGCCTTTGTGCAGCTACATACAGTAACACTGCGGTTTCCACTGATCTGCAGCCACCGGTTGTAATTCATGAGGTTCACTGCAGAGTGCTGCCTGAGAGCTTATCTGTGGCTGCAAACCTCGCACGTGCACGCTTTGCAGCACGAGCTCCAGCGACTCATTTGGAAACTCTGCGAAGCAGGTTACTCCGAAAACTTCAGCCCCAGGCTATTCCTCGTTGCGGCTGGCTCTTGCTGTCCCTGGGGCGAAGATCGCCACGGCGGACGTCGCGCTGGCCTCAAACAACATGTTTCCATGACACTGCGACATTGGTTGTACTGTCCCTGGTCTGTATCTACGACCACCTTTAATTTACGAGTAGTGCACCACCCCTACTACTGCTGCTAGTACTCCTGCTGCTGCTGCTGCTGCTGCTGCTGCTAGTACTGCTACTACCAGCGCTGCTACTGCTACTGCTACTATTACTACTACTACTACTACTACTACTACTACTACTGTTGCTGCTGCTGCTGCTGCTGCTACCAGTACTAGTACTAGTATCAGTACTAGTACTGGTACTAGTACTAGTATACTAGTACTCGTACTAGTACTGGCACTAGTGCTAGTACTAGTACTACTGCTACTACTGCTGCTGCTGCTACTGCTACTACTACTCCTCCTACTACTACCCCTACTACTACTACTACTACTACTACTACTACAACTACTACTACTACTTTTGCTGCTACTACTACTACTACTACTACTACTACTACTGCTACTGCTGCTAGTACTACTACTGCTACTGCTCCTGCTGCTGCTGCTACTACTACTACTACGACTACTACTACTACTACTACTACTACTACTACGATGTACTGCTTACTGATTATTGCTCCTCACGTTGCAGACGAGGATCCAGCGCACGTTCTCATTGCCCGAAATGTTCTGGCCTTCGCAGGCACTGGATTCCAGCTGTTCAGTCGTATTTCTGATTCAAAGTGCAGGGCTATTGCTTCGGGCTTTATGTTTTGGCCTTAAACCCTGTCCGGCTTGAGTACATACAAACCCTCATTCAAGGTTCATTGTTGGGCAAATCCTTCTCCATATCGTGTGTTCACAGGGCCGGGCGTTTGCTCATCGCTTCGAAAGCCCTAACTAAACTTATATAGGACTGAACCTTGAAACCAAAGCTGAACCCCAGAACCCAAAAGTGAAATCTCACGCAGTATAGTCCCAGAAGACACCTGCGATGCTTAAATGTTTGAGCCTTGGACACCTCGACTCCATCTCAGAGACTCCGGCCTTGCCTCTTCATATCCTCCAAAGCTCTAAAAGTCACCATTGGGACCATACAAAAACACATCCTCCCGAGCTCTCAATGCCTCGCCCCAAACCAGTAATCTTGAGCAGCAGACACACCTGCCCATTGTGCCTTTTCTGCAGGGTTTTGGTTGCAGATCCACGCTTATCGGATCGGTCCTAATTTGTGTAGTAGCTGTCCGAGGGTGTTTGTTTCGTGTCTCCGTGAGTGCCCGCAAATTGTCGTAACAAACAGCATGTTGCTACAGGTAGTTGGGATACGCGGGCAGCGTGCAGTGTTCCGATTCAGATGCACATCTCAATGCTCGATATCCCAAAACCCCTTCCCCTCGCAGGCATTACGGTTCAAGACAAGATTGCGGCGGTTAAACTCCATTCATGGAGCACTTCTGGGTTGATGCAAACCTTCTGGAACCCTGCACACCCGGCACAATTGAAGATTATTTGCAGGGGAAAGGCGAAGCAGCAGGATCAGATCTCTAAGACCTTTCAACGTAAACATCCGTGAGCCAACTTTTCATCCTTGGAGGCCTCGAGCCTCCACGGGTCACGGTGTGGACCGGGCTCCTCGACCTGATGCACAAAGAGGGCGGAGGGTACAGTTTGGGCTTGGGATGTTTCGGATTTAGTGCCTGTGATGAACTGGAGCTTCTTGGCAATATCAGCGTATGTTCCTGGATACCACGCGTTATAGTCCTTATATGATCAATATTTAGCCCCCCTCCCGTCGCCCCAATCTGGTTGTTTAGGTCCCTGCATCACGGGTTGGGTTTTGGAGACGTTTAGGCTCCAGGGTATAGGGTTTCTTCAGCAGCGGTTTCGAAACCATTCAAGTATCTGGTTCCCGACCACATGATGCACGTCGCTCGGAAAAACCGCAACTCTCTACGAAGTTCACTCAAACCCAAAGCACCAAGCCGCTGAACTTTGCCACAAAACACAAAACCCCCAAACCCGCAACCCCCCCTAAACCCCCAGCACACCCAGCTCTTCTCAGGCACAGCACGGACCTGCCCTGACCCGAGCTTCTCGGAACCTTCGAGGGCGGGATCTCTCTCTCTCTCTCTCTCTCTCTTTCTTTCTCTCTCTCTCTGTCTCTCTCTCTCTCTCTCTCTCTCTCTCTCTCTCTCTCTCTAGGAATTTTGTTTGTGCATCTTTCTGTAGTATTATGGGTCCATGGCATTGTCCCGGTACTATGGTACATAATTTACCTTTTCCCCAACACACGCTTCAACACGCCCGTTTTCTTGATCAGACTTCGACCTGAAAAAAGGATCTCAGCAAGGCTGCAGTCTTGAAGGGGCGTACTTTAGGGTTAGGGTTTGGGGATGCAGCGGAAAACCGGAGAAGCGAGACAACACGTGCTGGGAACAGCATTTCCGGTTGAGGGTTCGGGGAAACAGGGGGCCTCCTTGGATCGCCATCTTATCAACAAATGTGGGATGTCCGGGCTCCCGGTCCCGAAGTCCGAAGGGCCCAACAGTATCGGCAGGACACAGCGTAAAGCAAGAAGATGTTGATCTCCAACTTCTTTGTGAAGCCAGTTGGCATGCGTAGACTCCTTGGTGCAGAAAGGCTCCCGCGACTATCTGCACACTTCAGGCCGTGGTTTATTGCCAGGTGTTCATTGCTTGGCTTTATGGGTTTGTTGAGCACTCAGGCAGGAGTCTTGAATCCATGAATCAACTCTCATATTCAGTGCTGCCGTTGTCAAGAAAGTGTCGTGGGCGATTTCGAAAGCTCGAACGCATCGGTGCATGCCCCGATGCACCGGTAAGCCCTAAGCCTGAAATGCTGTTAGTGTTTTCTCGAGGTTTTCAGGGCTCAAGCCCCTACAGGCCTTAGGGCTTTTAGGCAGGGGCTTAACAGTGCCCCGAATGCAGTTTGAGACGTACAGATGGGCTGGGGGGTGCCATAGTTTGAAGCCTTGGGATGATTTTGAATGCCAGCAGGGGCTGCGGCAGATCGTTACATCTTGAAGCAATAACGACTAGAAGGCACTATACTTAGTAAGTGTTTACTAGTAGCAAGAGCAGATATTGTTTCGATATGTCAAATGTCATACACTGATGGCCCTGTGACTCTGTGCCAACAAAACACTTAGACTTAGACCCAAACACAGACTAAAGCAAGGCCCTGAGAAACCCAGTACAACAGGACTCACATCACAGCCATCTAGAAGGCCCCGGCAACTTTCCACCATCCGTAGAGCCAGATTTGAGACGGGTCTCTCCCAAATTCCATCGAAGCTCAATTCTACCCCAAGTCCAAGAACTTCAATCCCTCAGCCTGCAACCCCGTCGCGCGTCCTCTAGCTCTGCGGTCCCGAACCCTAGCAAAACCCAAGTGCAGACAACCTCGGACCTAAACCCCTACATCTGGCAGGCCCGGCAGCTTCGGCTTCGTGTTCATGGACCAGCGAGGTTCGCTCCGAGCTCAGACAAACAGGCAGAAGCCTGCCCTTGCCTAGGGCAACTTTTCTAGACCCGACGCCTAACGTGAAAACGAAAACAAGCGGAAAGCATAATAATTAAGTATTGTACCAGAAATGAAGGGCATCCCCCCGCTTACGTGGACCGTGTATTGTTTTGCTGACCCTATCCGGCTCACAGGAGCTGCTTTGACTTCCATTACAACAACCCGCGCCTGCCGGCTTATTCACATGTGAAACGAAGCCCAGCAACAGCCTTGTTCTGCAGCGCAGGCTTAAGTGTCAAAGGCCAAACAAAGAAAACACAGTCATAATATACGTACATATATATATATATACATATATATAATATTTATTTATTTATAAGCCCACATGTATGTATGTATGTATGTATGTCTGTGTGTCTGTATGTCTCTGTGTGTGTGTATGTACACACACACACACGCGCCAGCATACAAATGGACACGTTCCTGCCAAGATGAGCTCTTTGAGAATAGCTCCGTTAAGGACCTTAGTCAATGGAATCGGCAAACCATAATTTGAGCTTCTCATCAGTGACTGCAACACGGTCACCGTAATTAAAGGCAGCCCTGATCCAGAGCGGCCTCAATGCGGATCTGATGTGCACTGTGCAGAACGGAAACCATTCCAACACACGTTCTTTTAGGAGATTTCAATATATTTCTTCCTTGCGATGTGCTTGCTTCATGACCCCGTGCCATCCTTGAATCCGTTCCGATCATGGTGGCCGTATTGTGATGTTTCAACTACTAGTAGTAATCGGAACTGCTAACATGGAAGCTGAAGCAAAGCGCCCTACAGACTCCATCAGCCGTATAGACCCCTGTACAAGCTCCATTTGGGATTCAATGTTGGCTTTTGCAAAGGATGCCTGGGGCTGGATGGAAGTGGAATCGATTCTTTGGGCAGTCTTTGGTGTTCTAGATGGTTCCGAGGTACAGAGCTCCAGAGTTTCTGGTTTTGGCGTTAGGCCAGGCTTTTGGTTCAAGGCTTTCGGCGGCCCAAAGCTCTGGTCTTTGGTGTAAAGGGCTCAGGCCGTCGGCTCAACACGCGAGCCTTAAGTCCCCAAATGCACCAGGTTGTACTGCTTGTGAGTCCGATTGCCATAGCATTCAAGTCAATCTGAGCGTCTACTACTACTACTACTACTACTACTACTACTACTACTACTACTACTACTACTACTACTGCTACTGCTACTACTACTACCACTACTACTACTACTACTACTACTACTACTACTACTACTACTACCACTACTACTACTACTACTACTGTGACTACTACTGCTGCTGCTGCTGCTCCTACTACTACTACCACTACTACTACTACTACTACTACTACTACTACTCCTCCTGCTGCTGCTGCTGCTCCTACTACTACTACTACTCCTCCTACCCTTACTTCTTCTACCACTACTACTACTACTACTACTACTACTACTACTACTACTACTACTACTACTACTACTACTACTACTACTACTACTACTACTACTACTACTACTACTACTACTACTACTACTACTACTACTACTACTACTACTACTACTACTACTACTACTACTACTACTACTACTACTACTTTTATTGTTCGATTACCACTGTTGCCCGTGAACAACCAAGGTTATACCACGAAGACCTTGACGCTCTAGAGCGCCCGGAGCTCCAGATGCGGGATCCTTCGTGCGGCGGGTTGCACATGCATCCTACTGTACGCTGAGTTTGCAACACCCACAAAAGCAGACAGTGAGAGTGTTCCAGTCCATGGTGTATTGCCACATATGTGTGCTTGGTGTGTTAGTTATACCCCAAACAACGTTCCTATGTACACCAGGAGCCGCAGCAGGGATCCTGAACACCGGACACTAGTTGCAGCGGACCCTGCCTTTGGGGGTCAGCCACTCCCCTGGGAACACTGCGTTCCTACGTGGCAGGTCCGGATGTCACTACCGGGCCCTGCTCTGAAACCTCAACCTACAATAATCCAACCGCAAACCCTTGCCACGATGCCCACATAATCCAAAACCCGAACTCTACATCCCACAACCCCGAAGCCAAAAATACTATAAATGTGATCCTACACCAACAACCTTAGATGCATGCCCAAAGCCCTTACTCCCCATGCACTTTACATGCTCCTTAGCTCAAAGCCCGAAACCCCAACTCAAGTTCCTCTGAAAACGTCAGGGGCGAAGCTTCTCCACCAGGGAGCGGTGCTTCTGGCGGATAATGCCCAGAGCCCAGCAGCCATCCTCGGAAGGTTCAAGGTTTCTTGAAGTGGAGAAGAGTGGTGTTATAAGATGTATCCACATGTTTTGCTCCAGCACATGCGTGTCTGTGTGTGTTCTATCTATCTAGCTATCTGTCGATCGGCCTGTCTATCTATCTGTCTCTCTCTCTCTCTCTCTCTCTATATATATATATATATATAGGCGTTTGCACACTCTGCATGTGCGTCCGGGTATATTAAGGTTGAGGTTTCCAGTATAATTGCTCGAATTTCCTGGGTCTTTCTAAGTCTTACTAGTTAGGGTTGGGCAAGGTGTGGTGCAGCTGCGGACTGCTACAATAGGTTGTTTCGTTTACTTTGTTAGAGAAGACTTATTTAGGCATAGGGTTGCGGGGCTGGAGTTTCAGCACTTGCTTGGAATGACTAGGGTTCGGGGTCTGGGATGCCCCATGGGGGCTCGATCGATACCATTTCTATACCATATACCTATGGATGTGCAGGCAGAACAGGCCAGCGGCTCAAGGTGTCTTTTAAGCCCTGTCGTGTGGCAGTGTTCTTTCGCTTTATGCAGTTGGGGTTTGTACAATGTGCTGCATTTTGTTCAAGGATCTTTGTGATTTTGTGGATGCAGGAAGTGCGCCTTGGGGCTGTCGCGTGTGGATTCTGGGTCGGTGCTAGGTAAGAAGAAGTGCTGGATCCGGTTGTCAGGGGATATCTACAGTAACATGGTCCAGATCGATCAAAGCGCTGTACAACTTTGGACTTGGGTAGTGGCACGGGCATTACTGATACTGATAGCATTGATTTCGGCAGCACATGGTAAACATGAACCTGTAACTCCGTGATGTTCGTCGGGTTTGCAGCCTTGCCTGCTTCAACTGCGCAGTTCTGCATGTAGAACGTGCCGCCCGGGAATCTGGCAGCAGAACATTAAATCTCGTGGAAGTGTTGAGAAGTCCACTGCAGCCCTACAAAAGTACCTCCAACCGGGAGCACTACTCCAAAGCCCTAGGCATTATGCAAGAGCATACAGCAATCACCACCCCTCACGCGCCCTAGCACAGCCCAAAGCTCTGAACCTTAGTTACCTTAAGCCGAGTGCTGGGCCGGTGAGGTTCTGAAGCCCGGAAGCCCACTACTTCTTTGGCGTCGGGCACTTAGGGCCCTGGGGGGGGGGGGGCCCGAAGCCGCACAGGTTTGCTGCATATGGGATTTCAACCTTACGAAATCGAAGTAAAGGTTTATTGGGACTCAGAGTTGTCGAGCTTATTGTGGCGAAGAGGGTCTGGGCTTGGAGGGAAGTTGGATGATGTGCGTCTCGTTTAGGCAAATGCCCCTTTTTAGGCACCCTGCGATCAAAGCCATGCTCATGGGTCTCGTGCAGCAGGGATCTTCGACTCAGATTCGCTAGCTGCCGATCTGCAAGCCCTCCAAGCTAGTCCTGCAGGTCACACTTACAGCGCTATAGGGCATAATTTTGCCGAGCTGGAGCGGCCAACTCGGCCTCGATCGGGCGAAGAGCGACTGTGCCCGCACGATCGCAGGCAATCTTGCGGAGATTTACAAGTCTTTGCATAGCTTCGTGCTATGTGAAATCCGCTTTGCCTTGCGAACGCCATTTGCTGTGAGCCACGCGGACATTGGTTGGCCGACATCGCCAGGGTCCAATGGAGGTCGAGGAGCCAAACCTAGAAGCCCTGAGGCTGAGAAACCGCAAACCGTGGGAGAGGCTCAGCTGAAGACAACATCTCTGTCTCGGGCTGGTTCTGGACACTGCAGCATCCGATACCCCAAATCCTTAGCCTTCAGACTCTGAACGCGTAAGCCCTAGCCCGCCCCAAATCCTTTCAACCCGAAGGAAGCATGGAAGGCCGTCCGATAAGTTACAGCTCCATAATGGATCCAATTTCAGTTCCTTGACCTCGACATCAGAGCTTTCGGGGATTGGGTCAGCATGGCCAATCATTTTGGGGCTTCGGTCTCGGGGTAAGAGTTCGGGACTTGGGGTACAGGGTTTAAAACTTGCTTGGTGCCACGCTTGTGGTTCGAGCTACCTACTGAGAAGCACAGGTCACGGTCCGTTGGCCATACATTTTGTTGAACCTGTACCACGTAGGGCTTGTTGTGTTTCCCATCTCTGTAGGTACTTGGGGCTTCTGGGGACAAAGCCGCCGGATGGTCACTGAAGCTCTAGCTCGCCGTCGACCTGTTGAGTAACTACACCTAGGACCTACGACCACAATGCCCACAACGTAGACATAAAGGAATACTGGTTCACGTCGTCGCATAGACTGCATAGACAGACCAGAATATGAGAGTACTGCAACCGGTCGCCACCCAAAAAGAATTCAGCACACAAGCATCCCGTACAGTACAACCAGCAGTACGGCCCTAACCCTGTCCTCCCAAGACCCTAGAAGCACCAAGGCCTATCGGCGGATCCCAAATACCAAGCTCTGCAACTCTCTATGTGCGGAGCCCAGACAGGGTTGGCATGAACAGAATCTGGATTCGAGAAGTCTCTACGCAGCTTCAAGGGCACGTTCGATTTCGTATACTGGTCCCCGACAGCCCCTGAGATGAATCATCATACGGCTCATGTTCTTGTGGTTGGAAGGCGCCTTCAAGGCTTGAGGAGTTCCCAGCCCTCTGGTCTTGTCCGCAACTAGCGCCCTGAGTGTTTGCACATGTATAAGGACTCAGGAGCTTAAAGATGGAGTTCTCTGCTTGGGAGTAGATTTCGGGCAATCACTTCCGGTTTGCGCGTTTGGGGCTTGCGGGACTTATTCCCAACATGTGCGAGCTGGCTCGCTTCTGAAACTGATGACTTCTTGACGGTGCTGTGACTGCCGAGCGCAAAGCCTTGCACAACCAAAGCTCGAAGCCCTGAGCCTGATCTTTTCCGCAACACCCTGAAGGTGAAACATATGCAGACACACACACACACAGACACATAAATATCCGAGCTCGACTGCAGGGAAGAGTTTGCAATGCCAGTCGAGGCCGCGAGGGCTTTGGGGTTCCGGCGTCGTTCGGATGGTTTTCTTGGTTCAGGGTGTTCCTATAGTCGTACTGGTTTTGGAGTGGGAGGCGTTCATGGAGGATTGAGGTAAGTGGGATGAAATGGAAATCAGGCCTACCTCCTGTCTGGCGTGGTGCAGAAGCCCCGAAGCCCTGAACCCTTGAGTCCTCCTCCCAAGCCCTTATATTATATGTTTGTTCAAAAGTCGGTGAAGGATTCGACTCCATTAGCTCGGATGATTCTCTAGGTAAGAAGAACGGTGGCCTGTTCTGAATTCACGGTACCCCTCACAGTACCTTGGTCAAAACATTGTACAGATATTGCGGACTGATTTTGAACATCCTAATCGATCTGTTGCGAAGGTCAGGATTTACGCCCAAGAGCTCTGATTTAGGGTCTACCTGAACCCTACCAATCCTGTGCTTTTAGGCCGATAAACACCGAGGCTATATCCTCAAATCAGGTAGCTCAGCAAAAGAAGGGACCGACTCAGACTGCAGGATCCTCAGTAGAGAGACCCTCTAGCACAGTCCATGTATCTTAACACTTCCCAGATGGTAGTTCACTGTAAAACAATGTAATGTAGACGTTTATCCTGAAGCCCTAAACGCTTTGTGGCTGAGTCTCGCGCTCCAGGACTGGATGGCACTGGCCGTCATCAAAGACATGGCGTCCAGTCCGCCGGAGGCCGGGTGTTTCGATATATGTAAAACAGAGACCCAGAGGAGCCTAAGACGGTTGAGGGGTTGAGGGTCAAGTTGTTCGAGGGCTTCAGTTTCTGATTTCTCGGGGTCAGTGTGCTGGGGTGGGCTGAGAGTTTGAGGGGGTTTAGGGTGTTAGGGTTTTGGTGTCCTGGGCATTTCAGGGTTAAGGGTTACGTCTTTCACGTAGTCGTGGCCTTGTGGTTGGTCTACCACAGGTTCTTTGAAGTTTCTGGTGCCTTCACTTCTCAGGTTCGTGGCAAGGTAGAGCAGACTTTGACTGTTTGTTTAAGCCCTAAGCCGTGAACTGAGATGCGGACGCTAGTGTGGCTCTGGGACTTCTATTTGCACAAGTTGTCAAGTCTACATTCCTGCTTCAGGGTTTGATGCTGAAGAGGCGAGCTATGCAGATTTAAAGAATCGGCCGAATTGCAGGTTCCAAGTAGCCTCGGCAGCCTCTCAATGTGCCATAAACTCTCCAGCAGTCCCAAAGCCCAAACAGAAGCGGCAAACTTGTACCTGAAAAAATTTAAGCAATACCGGAAAAATTACCATGCACTACCCTGCATCCTACAAGCAGGGACCAAAACCTCGAGAACAGACGAACAGCTTGCCAGAGAGGTTCCGGCCCCGCGGCTTCTGCGGGGATCTGAGGGTGCAGGCTTTGCGGCTTCGTGTACGGAGTAGTGTTCGACGTCTGTTCGACTAGGTTCGACAGTTTTAGGTTGAGGTTTTGGCTTCTTCAAGCCGCTCTGCCCGCTGTCCCCAATCACAGATCTGAGTCGACACTGTTGCCGCCGGGTTTGTGGAGATTCAATGGCAGGAGCTTTTCAGAAGACGGAAAGGCTATGCTAAGCTTCGGACTAAGGAGCACGGAGATTATTTCAGCTTATCCTCAAAGTCAACCCTGAACCCTAAAGCGGCTGAAGTTTGGGCACGGCAGCATGCCCAAGTCGATGCTCAGGTATCGGGTTCAGTCCACTCCGGGTGCCAAGCACCCGTGGGGCACCTCTCTACTGTACTTAGTTTGGCATTAAGCTTGAAGGCCTCTGGACTGCCAGAGAGGAGGGACACTATCGCTAGCTTCAGGCTCAAGTCCCGTGATCTCGTTTATTGAGGTTCAGGAGACGTTACAGAACTGCGTTCTTGGCGTCAGTCGGACGAGTGTCCAAACCAAGAGTGTTAAGTAATGAACCATGACACACCACGTGTTTGGCACACACATATATATATATATATATATATATAGAGTATAATACAAAACATAGTTTTTTTATGCTAGGGCGGCCTGTGTTGATACGAAGTGCGAGGAGAATGGGTAGGGGAGGGGGGGTGGGGGGGGGGGGGGAGGGGGGGGCCCCCCCCCCACCCCCCCCCCCCCCTCCCCCTCCCGCCTCCCCCCTCCCCCTCCCCTCCCCCCCCCCCCCTCCCCCCCCCCCCCCCTCCCCCCCCCGCTCCCCCGGAGGCCGACAAATCAGGTAAAATGAGGGGAAGCCGGGCAAACGAACGCAAAAACGGGTGTCCCCAAACATTTGGACCGCAAAAAGGGGATTAGGTGGAGGGTACCTGAGCTAACCCCCAAGACGCCTGGGCCTGTGGCCTCGGCGGATTAGCAGGCTTTGAGTCTTCAGTTTTGGATCTTGGACACTTATGGACTCTGCGCGATCATGCACCCTACCAAGGTCGCACGGAAGCTTTGCGCCGCACCGTTTTAAACTGCATGCCCAGAAGTTCAACATACAAGCTCAGGTTGGCTCCCAAGACCTTGTTCTGGCTCCATTGTCCCAGACCGCCCGATAAACCTCGGCCATCCTGGGCCCCCACATTCACTCCCATGTCTAAGTTCGACTTTGAATGTGCGAAGCTGAGGCGGGACTTGCATGAGTTTTCCGTCCGGAGCCCAGTTGTGGCAGGGCGAGAAATGTCAAATGCCAGCGGTTTTCACTCATGAGTTCGGAGGAACTCGCTAGGGACAGGGTGCCAGGCTGATCCGTGTCAAGCATCATCCTTCAAAAGTGCCATGTTGAAGCGCTCAGAAGAATCGTACTGACACTGTCTGCGACCATGTCAACAAGAGCCTCTGTCTCACTTGCAAGTCTAAGCACCAAGCCAACGCATCAATCCCAACCCTGGCCCATATTCACACCATACGAGTTGAAAGGATGAGATACGCGCTCGGGCGCTTATCCCGGGAAGAGGCCCGGCTGCTGAACTTGCAGTGGTGTTATACGGAGCATCCCTTTTCTGGGGGTCTTTATTATGGAGGTACGTAGTAGTCTCTGAAGTTGCGATTTGGGCAGGGTCAACACGGCTTTCTCGGGCGTGTAAGACAACCATTTGGAGCAAGGCCGTCCAGTATTCCTTGGTGTAGGTTTGTCGACTATTTAGAAATCCTTTGTCGCAGTGGCTGTTGCAAGCTCGAATGCCGCTTCTTCTTGCGCGTGGATGCATTTTTTACAGTAGCCTGAGGAGGACATGAAACATCAAGCGTGTCAACTGCATGCTGGAGGGCTTGTGGAAGAATCGAGCTCGATGACCGCTACACGCTGATAAGCAACCTCCGACACCTGGAGATGAAACGTCTACAAGCAGTGTCCGTTCATTGCGATTTGGACTTGCAAGCTTTTTCGTTGTTTCCCTTGCTTTCGAGCTTTGAAGCGTTGTCAGCAGCATGCATGGGTTAACTCAGGTCGAGCATGCTTTGAGAGGTTTGTTCGTAGCTGATTGCAAAGGTACTCTCCGAGCCTCAACGACACACCTTGCTGATTTCAGCCAGTCTCGCACAGTTGACCAGATAAGATTCTTTTGTATCAGATCTGGCTTGGGTTGGCATTGTCAAGGTTGTTGATGAAGCCACGGTCCATGCAGCTCAACCGTGCCGGGTTCCTCCCTTCCGCTTCGATACTCCATCAACAAAGCCCAGCTGACGGGATTCCGGTGTGTTCGGCTTGTCATTCGTCATCTTCATGTTTGCGTTGCTTAGAGGCGGCTGTTGACGCTTCAGTCGTCGTCTGCGGACCTCAACAACACATCTACCTTTGCACCGCTGTTGTTGGAGGCATAGACTTTCAGGAGTGGAAGGACCTCGCCGATGAGATGAAAAGAGGCTGGGACTTCAGGGTTTAGGTTTAGCGGACTGTAGTAACAACTGTCATTGTTTTCGTTTCGACTTTCGACCTCTTCTACTTCTAGCTTTCCTGCATCCACCCAGAGCCCTGTTACAGGCATCTGCGCTCTTACCTTGCTTGCATCCCAAGAAGGTCTGCGGGGTGTAGCATCTTCTCGCTTCTTAGTTATGAATGAAGGCGCCTCAACCTCAACTCCATTGACACTTTCGAGCTTCGGTGTCTGGAGCAGGCTTACACAGCCTGGGCATCACCGCGCTCGTTTCGGCCTCAGCATTCTGTGATCTGTTACCGCGAACGCGGTACTTTTCTGAACGTGCTGATGCCAATTTATCTTTTGATGATGTTCCACATCTGGATCCCCCGCGGGTTGGGGTAGGATGAGTTTTCACCGGTGACGAGCTCATGTGCGGCAGGCTATGCAGCTCGTTCAAAACACCAACTTCTGTGATCTGTGGGATCTGTGGCTGCCATGATGTCAGTCGGGGACACAATAAGCTAAAAGTCGATGGAGTGCATTCTGCCTCGCGAAATGTGAGAGTTCAGATCATGCAGAAAGTGAAAGGTGCACGTGGTCACGGTCATCTCCTGGCGAAGCGTGTCATGTCGGAACGCTGCCAGCACTTTTGGCTCTTCCTTTGGTTCTGCGGACTTCAGCTAGCAACCCAGCAATGGCGCCACGTAGCCTTGCCTTGGCTCTGCCCGCCGCCGGCCTGGTCTTCCCCCCAGCGCAGATCCCAAACTCTCTCCTGCTCCTCTCATCCGACTTAGGTGGCAGCTCCGCTCTTCGTGCCCGGAGCGGCTCCGAGCGCCCCAGCGCCCCGGGCGGCCCAGGCCACACATGCCGCGGAGGCGCCCAGCAGCGGCAGCCTCTCGGCGCTGACCGTGGGCACTGTGGCCAGCGCAGGCACCGGATGCGGAGGGACAGGGTGGGCCGTTGAACTGAGAATGCCGGCATCCGACCGCAGATCGAGAGAGAGAGAGAGAGAGACCGAGAAAGTCACAGACAGGGAGGCAAAGCTAGAAGTTGGCTGCGAGGCGTCTTGGTGGCGGCCCTCTCTCGCTCCTCCGTGGCGTGGCAGTATCAAATGTAATTGCACCTTGAGCAAGGCAGCTGATTTATTTGACGAGGTTTGAAGTCGTGGTGTCTGTTTCGACCTTCAGTGGTCAGGTCAGGTCCTCTCAGCCCCGCGTCACCCGCAACTTCTTCGGCGGCCCGACCACTTCTCCTGCCAGCTTCGACCCTGCCACGGAGCTCCTTCTGCATGCAGCAGTCATTAGCAGTCAGCAGATCCTCTCGCCAGATCATTGCGTATAGTTCTCTGTGCCAGGAGATGGGTGTGCAAGATCCTGTGGGATTTTGGGATCCACTCGGGCTTAGCGCGGACAAGGACCAGGCCGGCCCAGAACGATGATGGGAAGGACGAATATGGTATGGCAGTAGGAGCGGTAGCGACAGCAGCCGTGGTGGTGTTTGTAATTCTTGGTGATTGTCATCGTCGTCGTGGTTGTGGTTGCGGTGGTTGAAGACCACAGCAACAGCAAAAGCTTTCTTCCACGAGGCGACCTTCAAGCGCCGCCGTGCCGTGGAGATCAAGCATGGCCGCATCGCCATGCCTTTCGGTCAGGTTGAATTGGAAGCCGTAACACTCCATGAGTGCTGCTGCTGCTGCTACTACTGCTACTACTACTACTACTACTACTACTACTACTACTACTACTACTGCTACTGCTACTACTACTACTACCACTACTACTACTACTACTACTACTACTACTACCACTACTACTACTACTACTACTACTACTACTACTACTACTACTACTACTACTACTACTACTACTACTACTACTGTGACTACTACTGCTGCTGCTGCTGCTCCTACTACTACTACTACTCCTCCTGCTGCTGCTGCTGCTCCTACTACTACTACTACTACTACTCCTCCTACCCTTACTTCTTCTACCACTACTACTACTACTACTACTACTACTACTACTACTTCTACTACTTCTACTACTACTACTACTACTACTGCTACTACTACTACTACTACTACTACTACTACTACTACTACTACTACTACTACTACTACTACTACTACTACTACTACTACTACTACTACCTACTACGGGCCACGGGCCACGGGCTACGGGCTACGGGCTACGGGCTACGGGCTACGGGCTACCGGCGACTGCTACTGCTACTGCTACTGCTACTGCTACTGCTACTGCTACTGCTACTGCTGCTGCCACTGCTGCTGCTGCTGCTGCTGCTGCTGCTGCTGCTACTGTTACTGATACTGGCCAACAATAACAAGAAGAAAACCACAACAATAAGACCACTAGCAACACGAGCAACAATAACAACCACAACAATTTCACCAACAACAGCAGCAACAACCACCACCACAACAAGAACTGCTACTACTCCTACCACTTCTACTACTACTACTACTGCTACTACTACTACTACTACTACTACTACTACTACTACTATTACTTCTCCTACTACTACTACTACTACTACTACTACTACTACCAGGCGGGCGACTACTGCTAGTATTTCAGGGGGGCGGGTGGAGCACTATGCTACTGTAGAGGAGCTACTGCTACTTTAGAGGGTAGGCGGGACGACTACCAAAGCCAAGCCAAGCCAAACCAAGCCAAGCCAAGCCATTTTAAAGAGAGCTCCTTTCACCATTGTGTCAGAGGAAAACCTAACGTAATAGTAAGACCCTGTCTAATAGGAAAACCGTATCTAACACTAAAACGCTATCTAATACAAAAACCTTATCCAATAGTAAAACCCTATCTAATCGTAAAACCTATCTAGTAGTAAAGCCCTATCTAATCGTAAAGCCCTATCTAGTAGTATCTAACAGCAAGTCCCTATCTAATCATAAGACCCTATCTAAGCGGAAAACCCTATGTAAGAAGAAAGCTTTATGTAATAGGAACAAGCCGGGCAACAAAGCAATGTGCATATTGGCGCAGAGACAGATGCGCTGCAATGGTTGCCGCATGCGACAAAAGAGGCGAGAGGGGGGTCACAGGAGCAGGCTGTCGCCTACTACTACTACTACTACAAATACTACTACTACTATTACTACTACTACTACTACTACTACTACTACTACTACTACTACTACTACTACTACTACTACTACTACTACTACTACTACTACTACTACTACCCGCCACCGTGTTTACCGTACCCCTAAATATTGAAAAACGCAGCTGCCGCTGTGGTGGCGTGCTTATTTCAGTGTATTTTGGAAGTACGCAAATGACAAGGCTGTTTTGCGTTTTGTGTGGGAGGCGTTGCTCGAAAAGGTTTACGCGCGTGTGTTGTGACAACGTGTCTTGCTCCACATCCTTGTGCAGCATGTTGTACCAAGAGCCCAAAATGCTGTAAAAACCAGCGTTTTGGGCATGATCGCCAAAGGCAGCGACATGAACATCAACCTGACCATCTTCATCATCATCATCTTCATAACCATCATCCTCGCCATGCTCAACATCATCGTTTACCTGATCATCTTCATCATCATCCTCATAGTTATCATCCCTATCATCATCCTCATAATCGTCGTCATCATCAACATAAGGCCGGTGATGCAGTTAACGATGATGTTGAAGATGGCGAGGATGATGGTTACGATGAAGATGGTCAGGTTAATGTTCATGTGATTGCCTTTGGCGGTCATGCCCAAAACACTGGTATTTACAGCATTTTTGGCTTTTTGTACATGCTGCACAAGAATGTGGAGCAAGACACGTTGTTACAAGCATCCTACCACTGCTACTGCTACCGGCGCTACTGTGTTACTGCTTACGGTCAACCATGTCGTTATTAGCCCCCTCCCCCCCCCCCCCCCCGTTACTGCTTACGGTCAACCATGTCGTCCCCCCCCCCCCCCCCCCAGTCCCCAGTAGCCGATTTCACGGGTACGGTAAACACGCCGTTGGCTGCTAATGCGACAAAAGAGGCGAGAGGGGGGTCACAGGAGCAGGCTGTCGCCTACTACTACTACTACTACTACTACTACTACTACCACGACTACTACTACTACTACTACTACTACTACTACTACTGCTACTGCTACTGCTACTACTACTACTACTACTACGACTACTACGACGACTACTACTACTACTACTACTACTGCTACCTCTACTACTACTACTCTGCCCCTACTACTCTAACTCCTACTGCTACTGCTACTCCTACTACTACTCCTACTACTACTTCTGCTAGCAGTTGTCCTCGCTGCAGCAGCAGGAGAAGCAGCACTAGCAGTAGGTGCCGTCTGCGCAGAATATCAAGAACCCTTTAGTCTGTTGGAGCAGCTGGCTACCGGCGCGGCTTGCTGCCGAGGTATGCGACCATTGGCTATATTGTCCCGGAATACTTCCGCTTCCCAGGCTCTGCGGCAGCATGTAGCTAACATCACAGGCCTGTGGCCGTAAGATGATGCCGGAGTGTGACCGACGTGTTCTTAGTGTTCGTTGAGTGACCAGGTAAAGCATGTAGAAGCTGCACAATGCTCCGAAATGCTTGCGAGCTTCAGGCTTCTTGTCGCCATCCCTGGGCTTGAAGTTCTCTGCCTCCTGCCTGCACGTAAAGCTGCCCGCGTTGAGGCAACTCTGTCTTGGTGTTCAAAGCCTGCATGAGGACACAAGGTGCTACCTCAGCCATTCCTATAACGCCCAGACCAATCCCCAACTCATAGTAATAGTGCTTGATGTGTGAGGACATGCCAAACGGACTTGCAGCGCTTTCGAAGCTGCCAGTGCTTGGTGGCGCACAAATCATCGCGTTCGCCGGGCTGATTGAGACTACAGGCATGCTGGTGCCGGAATTGAATAGACGGATAAGAATCTCACACCTACCGGTCACAGCAAGCAATCGCAAGAACGGTAAGGTTGCTGCCAAACATATTTAGGACACCAGTCTCATGAGCTTATCGTGCTTACCGATGTATAGTCGTGGGAAAACGAACGACGACAAGAAGGGAGACTGTGGTGGCAGTAGGAAGAGTATTTTGATCAAGTACTTTGTAAAGATCTGAGTGTTCGGAGTATTCAGTGTTCTAAGCGTCATGGATGCAAAAGTGTAAGTTGTGCTTTCTGCATGGACAGGATTCTTCCAGGCCTCCTCCACCACTGATGGCCGTGGCCCCCGGGAAGGCCAGTTCTCGATGAAGGACTCCACTGAGCGACTTGGCAGCATGCCAGGGCCGTGGCGCAAAGTCCCGCGGCTAGTGCCTGGACTCGCACGTTAACAGTAATGCACGACGACATGGCTATTAGGTTTATGATCTCGGAGTCTGTCTTGTTTTTGTCGACACACCAGTAGCAAAGTTAGTTGGGAGCCATCAGCACTCGTTCGTACTGCAAGCCTCAAGACCAATTTCTTGGCGACTCGCAGTGGCCATAGCAATCACACACATTTGTGTACACGTGTGTGTGTGTATGTATATATATATACACATAGATATAGTACACTACAAAAGTATATCACAACTTATATGTTCGTCATGGCAGCGTCAATACCAGCAGGCGGGGCAAGTATGTAGGGATAACCAGAATCGCAACAGGACCGGCGAGCCTGGCAACTACGGTGTTGGCTTCCCCAATTTCGTCGGCAAAGTGGAGGACTCCAAGAGCGAGAGAGGTCTCTGCATATTCCGGTGAACTTTCACGCATCACATGCGTTGTTGGTGCGCAGAGATTGACACAGAATTAGTGCCTGTCAGTTGTTTCAACCTAAACAATGGCAGCATCCCTGCCTGTGCTGCGGCTCTTTGTCCGGCTATCAGCATCACCATCATCACCACCATCATCTTGGTCATTTTGGCGCTCCTTGTCCTCTTCCATTTCCTCATCATCTCTATCAGTCTATCAGCATTGTCATCCTCCGCCCCGCGATCATCGTCGTTATCATCATCATCATCATCAACAACAGCCAGATAAACATTCTCGATGCCATGGTTTTCATTGTCTTCGTTCCCAGAACCATTGTCATGGATTTCCCTTCCTCAATATCACAGGATTTTCCGTGTTGTCGGCCTCGCAAGAAGGACCCGGTCATTAAACCAACCACGGAAGTCTAGGTTTGGCACGAAACCCAGACAACATGCTGCTTACTTCATTCTTCAGCGTGGACAACGAGCAGGATCCCGAGGAGCGAAAAAAGAAGCTCGCAGCGGAGCTGGCCAATGGACGTCTGGCGATGATGGCAATCATCGGCCGCTGGACGTGAGAGGATGAGAGAGGAGGCTAAGTGACGAGAGCAGACGGCAGAAAGGAGATGAAGCATCCTGTTATGCGACACAATCAGATGATGCATCACCAAACCTTGAATCCCAAACATGAGCAACTCCGGGCCAAGGCATGTTCTTCCAGGATGGCCTCACAGGCTCCGCATGGGGAGACTGGAGCTTGTATACAGCCTCGCCATTGAGGGCTGAGCCCGTGTCTGCGGCTGCGGCAGCTGCTGCTGCTGCGAAGGCACTTCGGGTCTATCAGAAGTGCTACTAACAGGTAAGTATGCTGTACACTTCCGGTACTTTTTGCTTCAGGGTTTAAGGGTCAAGTTTGAGCCGCGACTCATCGTGGAGCGCCCCTTGCAGTTCTCCGATTCGACTGTAGAGTGGGGAGTGAGAGATTGGCCCTTGGTTTCCTTTCACACCTTCCTGAATTCAAGGCGGCCGCAGCCGCCAAGGGCGCCACAGCGACCACTTCGGCTGTGGCTGGCACCGCCGGTGCCGGCTCCTTGTCGAAAGGTGAGGGCGTGGCTGGCAAGAAGGGCCCCAGCCCCACTTTCGACCCGTCCACGCAAATCGGGGCAATGGACCCGCTGGGATTTTTCGATCCGGCCGGGTTCAGCAAGAAGGGCGACGAGGACGGATTCCGCACCTTGCGCGCTGCTGAGATCAAGCATGGCCGTGCCTGGGTATGAATAGACTGCAAGACTCTCATTCTCACGTGATGGTTTCTCAAGCGTAAGCTGACCATTCTGCGGCCTGACCACAGGTGTTGCTATGATGGCGGCCTTGGGCGCTGTGGTGCAGCACTACGTCAAGTTCCCAGGCTTTGACTCTGTGCCCAGCGGCCTGGCAGCTTCCATCACCGCGCCGGGCAGCTACGGCTTTGTGGCCCTCTTCGCGGTGGCAGGTATCTTGGAGCTCGGCGCCTGGACCGAGAGTGCCGACAAAGAGCCGGGCAACTTCGGCGACCCCGCCGGCCTGAACCAGTACACCCAGGCTTCCGGCTTTCCTTTTTCAGTCGTGTAGTTACCGGCATGGTGCAACGAGGGGGGCTGCTTAGGTGTCAACCGAACGGAGAGAAGAACAGTCGGAACTTGTCAAGGAATTCGGGGCACAAAAATTCGAAACCCGAAATCCGAACAAGCGCAGGAGATGAGGGAGCGGGAGATTAACAACGGCAGATTCGCGATGTTCGCAGCCATTGGTATCATTGCGGCTGAGCTGTACACAGGAAAGGATGCCATCGAGCAGTTCGGCCTCTGAGCAAATTTACGAGGGCGCGATGCTCTGTGAGCATTCCAGGGAGCCCATCAAATGCCTTGTGAACCAGGTATACCGCAATCATCCGGAAGCTGCCGTAGCAGTAAAATCATGACCGAGTATGGACTTTAAAGGCAACCCCAAAATGAAGCGGGTTATGGATTAATTGTGCAAGGTCTGCTCAGTTGCTTCATTCGTCATGAGCCATATAATGAAAGAAGCCCTCTGCTGGCCTCTACATTGTTGGAGAAATGGGTCTCCCTGAGTTCTCGACAGTTCACACTGAGCCTGTGCGATCTTTTATCGGTTCAAGATACTAGAGTTTTCAGTTAGCAGTCTTCAGCAGCCGACGCAGAGCTTTTCCGGTCGGCTTGCTCCCTGAGTTCGGGTCGCCAGAAGTGCGAGTGGTATACATGCTGCCAGCAAGACCCTGTCGAACTCGACCGTTGCAACACTGGCTCGGAAAATCGTATCCGGGTGTGGCAAGGAGTAGGGCTAAAGAACAGGCACGCCCTGAATGCATCGTGTGCGGACACTGCGGCACCACTGCGATACACCCGGAGCTCGATAAACCCGAAAGCAAGCAAGCCTAACCATTGAAGACGTTCTTGTTTGTCTCGTGCGTCCCATTACTTCCACATGCATCCCATCTGTCCAGGCATTGAGGAGTTTCTTTTTATGTTTCATCTGACGTGCTCTGCTTGTCCCCGCATGCTGGTCATCCGTCCATGTGCTATTTTATTGGATGCGCTTTATCAGCCTCGACGGTGGAAAGCTGTTCGTTTTGAACCTGGCACAGCTCCAGTACAATTGTTGAGTGCCCCCTCCCTTTGTAGGTAATGCAGACTTGTTTTACAAAAAAAGGCCCGTTCAGCACTCGACAAGGCGGGCAGTTTTTGTTACAGGGATTTGCGGTTTAGGGTTGCAGATGGACGGACTCACCACATCCATGAACAACGACATACCTGGACCTTGGATTGGAATTCCTTCTTGTGGTTGCCTAATTTCCCGTAGTTAGGACACACAGTAGGAATCCCAACCATAGAACAGGTTCTCCAAACAAAGGTAATGGAGTTCAGAGCGAAATAGAATCATATAGAATCCTTTTGTCTTTGGGGCCTCGGGCACAACTCCGCCATTCTCGGGTTGTGCCTAGAAACTAAATCCAGCTCAAGGTCTACATTCGGGTCTTCTACTACAAACTGATACAAAGTTCAATGCAAGTTGAGCATTGCAGAAAAGGGCATTGGCGAAGACTGCGTGTTCAGAAGCTGCTACATGTAGCAGATGCTTCTAATAATGAGTCTGGTGCCTGTGTGAGGTGTGCACTCAAGATGGTGTTGGACAGCGCAAGAACCATTCCCTACATTCAGCCTTGGCTGTGGGGTCAAGGGTTGTCAGTCGTATCCTAGAAATCACCATCCCTGAAATCTGAACTCCAGGAGCTGAGGATGTATAGGTTTTCTCTCAATATAGCTTGGAGATACACAGGTTTGCGGACTTTGGATTCAGACCTTGGCGGTATTCACGTTTCGGGCTTGGACGTCTTCACTGCTTAGGGATGGGGGCTGCAAACCTCTACCCTAGGCCCAAAACGTCCCTACACCCGCAACCTCGCTTCCCTCCACTCGAGACTCAGGCAGTCGAGCCTTCGTCGTGACGTTAGCAATCCTCCCAAAGCGGAGACGGTAGAGACTGAGGCGGATACTGGCCCGGGCTTCATGTGTACTCTCCGAAGTAGTCAAAGAAACCAGCTGAGCAAAAGAAGCAACTACATCGGAGGCTTCAGCGTGTAGTGTCTAGAGCCCATGTAAGGGGATTAATCGTTTAGTGTAGTTTTCGTGTGGACCTTGAAGCAGCTGAATGTCCCAAACCCTAAGACTGCGCGGTTTAGGAGTCGCATGTTCATCTAGTGAAGGAAGTATGCTGTGAATGTATGCATGCATGCATGGATGTATATGTGTATATGTATACTATATATGTAAGTAGTAGTTATGTATATTATGTATACATCATGAACATATGTGAATGTATATGTGTGTACATATATATGCATGCACATTTTCACATGATAGGTCGGTTGGGTTTACGATATTGGATGTTGGATTTGTAGTCCGGCAAGTCCTGCGTCCTGATGCAGCATGATGTCAGGCGCTGTGGAGTAGCAGGAGCCACTTGCAGCCAAAGTCGCTGCTGTGAGATTCAAGGATACAACTTAAGCATATGCAGTTTTCCTCCCTGTGATTCCTGCAGCAGTGAAAAGTCGTTGTCGTCGCGCTACTTTACATGTATGCACTTGTGTGTACACGAAATTCGTCACGGAAGTTGAGGGAAGTCACCTAGCGAAACAGTGAAGTGACGCTCAGTGGCCAAAGTCTTGCCTAAGTTAGGCATTGGAGGAGCACAAAGGACAATACAAGCATACAGGAGACATGTGGTGCGTTTGGTTACACCCTGCCGCATGCGAGCATAATTTGCAATGACGCTCTGTAACTATGTAGTCTGAAGGCGGCCTGAAAGCACAGAGCAGTAGCCCATGGTATTTACAAATAAATCCCACTTCTTGAGTCGGTTTGGGCTAGTGCATTGAGGCCGCTCTCCTTAGCATGAGCCCTCCTCCATCCTCTTTCGGCTGTCGGAGTTTACGTTAACGCCCAACAACCTACCCTTTTGAGGACATACAGAAGGGAATTGGAATAAGGAACCCTGGACATGCAAGTTGCTTCCAGTTTGGGCACGGTCACGGATGTAGGGTTCGAAAGGTTGGCATTCAACAGTTACAGGGTTTAGGGCTCGTCAAAAGAGATTAGGGCATGGTTTGTGTTCTGCTGCACGCTCTTTGGATCAGGCTTGGTTGGTTGCAGGCTGGGGTCATAATTAACTATTGCCGTCGTTGCATATACATGCTTATAGTTATGTTGAACAGCCTGCCGGCGTGTCTTTGGCATAGAAAGAGTACATATATCATAGAGCTTGGGGATGGGTCTCGGACCCGAGTGTTTGTTCCCCTGTCAACCTTGGATGTTGGTCACCCGGAAGCCACAAGCCCTACCCCCCTCGAAGGACAACCGATGGGTGATCTCCCCGAAGATTGAGCATGGGGTCGACTTGCTGATGCAGGCTTTCTAGGGTTTAAAAATGTAGCCAATGTATGTAGTCAGTTTAGGGTTTGTCAGGCTTGTACCTTCGGGTTTTGAGGGTCCTGCGGTGCTGAACAGAGGTTGGGGCTTCAGGTTTCATGGTGTCGGCTTTGCGGATTTGCCAGACCAGTGGTGAACCTGCGCTCTGAATCCGCGCGTTCTGCGGTCCTCGAATTCCATGTAGCCAAGAAACACTTAGTCGTGCATGTATTGTCTCTCTAACACAGAGTGTAAACAGGAGCCCTTGGAGGCATGCAGGCTACGGATGGCTACAGGTGGTGGAGCCTGAGCCCAAACACTCTAAGCTGGAAGCCCACATGCCAATTGCTGCTTTGAACCCCGTAGCCTTGGCCATGTGAGCTGGATCCCTAACACAACGGCTTCAGCTAATTGCCGGAGACACAGAAGGCTACACCCAAACTCATGTCTGAGAGTTGCTAGCAGCGCTTCAATGATTAACACCTCAACATGTCTCAATCTTCATGCGTAGGATGGAAGCAATCTTGCACAAAATGACGTAAACACGGGCCATAGAGGGATGCACTCTTGTGAGGCTGTTGCATGTAGCTTGGGTTCGCTTGTCACTGAGGCGGAGTCGAGCACAAACCCCAAAATTGGCTCCAGCCCCATGCAACTGTAGTGACTGTGGTGACCAAAGTTGAGCATGAAGAGTTTACCTCTACAACCAAGACCTTATATGGCCCAGATCTAGCTTTCAATACCCCGGGCCACAGTCCCTAGATCTTAGATACTGCGCCAAGACCCGCTTGTGGATCATCCCAAGATCGAAACCAGGCACAGCAAGGCGAGATGATGGGCTGCGCCTTCCAGTTGCTCGGCACAGGACGTTGCGGTTGATTGCAAGTCTTGGTTCTGGTCTCCTGCTCTCTCTGTATCAGGGACTTAACTAGGCGGTGCGCCTTGTAGGGTGACGATCATCTTTGACAGTCATTTCTGGGAATCCATCTATTCAACTCGATAAGCATCCCCGTTCCACATTGACGTGCGCTACGTATTCCTCTTACATCAATGGCCCATGGCCTTCTAGACTACTTAAACTACAGTGTAACTACAAGATCCCCCGGCCCCAGGGATTACTTGAGAACTGTGCAGAACTATGGAGTCAGTGGCTTTGACCAAAGGCCTTAAGTGTGCCAATGTGAGAGAGAGAGAGAGAGAGAGAGAGAGAGAGAGAGAGAGAGAGGCAGAGAGCCAAATCTTGTATGTGTGTGTGTGTGCACGCATCAAGTTGTGTAGGGAGTTTGAAGGTTTGTTTTCTGATGTTCGGGGCTTTGGTGACGGATTTGTGTTTATAGGCTTGGGGGGGTCCTTTGACGCGATGCCGGCAACGGCAAACCGATGCTGCAAGCAGCTGCTAAGTAGCTCACGAGAAGCTTGAAACTTCCGGAAACAGTAACTGGTATGGTAACCCTTATAAGTATCGCAACTAGCCGCTGTCCCAGAATCATAAAAACAGAACATCTATTCCGAACAGAGTCAGCTTGCAATTCGCATGCCCGAGATTCTGGTGTAGCTCCCACATGCCAATTAGAGCTGCAATATCTTGAACCCCAGGTGGTATAGGTATCTCAAACCCAAGCCTAAGCCCGAAACCACAACGAAGAGCACCACTCAGGTATGTGGACGAGCCTTGGCAGGAGCTGGTTGAGAACCGCTGGTGCAGCAACTCGCATGCGCAGGCCGTGTCGTGGCACCAACCAGGGGCGTAGGTGTTTCGATGAAAGGGTATCTCGACACCAGAAACCTTTCAAGGTAAAGCCACAACCCCGGGAGGTCATAGAGCTTGACAATGGTGCGGTACGGAATCATTTTGACAGTCGTGCTGGGCGTTGTCGCACTAGCGGCCATGGGCAACACGAATGCTATCCTACTAATGGGCATAACCCAAAGCAAACGGATCAGCACCAATGGTCATAATTGTTGGGGTTGGTTGGGGTTTGATGAAGCTATCGAGATAGATTGACATCAGCCAAGCTACCACGCTTGTTACCTTCACAACAGCTGACACCTCCCTGCATTTTTCAGTATAGGCATTCGAACGGATGTCTTCATATCATTCTCCACGAGATATTCGCTCTGTACTTCAACCTTGCAACCCCGAAAAATGCAGGAATGAGGATGTGCCAGTAGTGAATAACAAAATTCAACATAACACACACACACACACACCAGCTCATTGCTGATCTTGCGATTGGACTGCGCTTGTAAAAGTGGTTGCCGACGATGGTCTTGAAGCT